CCCTGTGGTGAGGTTCACGTGGCAAATAGCCAAGCCCTGCCCCCAACAGCCAGCAGGAGCTTGTCCAGCAAGTGGGTGAGCCACTTGGAAAGGGACCTTTCGGCCCAGGTCAGAACATCACGTGACGGCAGCCTGACTTCGAACTCTCTCAGGAGACTCTGAACCAGAAACACCCAGCTCAGCCCTCCACAGAGTGTTGATTCCTTCAAGCCCCTCAGTGTGTGGTCTAAGGGCAACGCTGGGTAGGTAAACATCTCCAGAGGAGGACTGGACTAACTAAGTGCAGAGCACATATGGATGGAGTGGGAACAGCCCTAGGGACCAGGCTGTGTGAGCTCCACAAAGCTAACAGGAAACCCAGCATCCCTGAGACCAGTGTGCCGAAAGTCAGGGAAGGACTGGACCTGGCAGACAAAGACAGGGACAGCAGCAGGCTGCATCTGGATGGCTTTTTGTGGCTTGATTTCTTCCTTCAATTTCATTCTACTCAGGCTGGGTGGTGATCGCTCACGCCTATAATCCTAGTTATTCAGTAGGCAGCTATCAGGAAGGTCGTGGTTCGAAGCCAGTCCTGACAAATAGTTCATGAGACTCTATCTCAAATGATACCCCAACACAATGAAGGGATGGCAAGTGACTCAAGTGGAAGAGCATTTGCCTAGCAAGCATGAGGCCCTGAGTTCAATCCCCAGTATCACCCCCCCCAAAAAAATACATTCCTTCCAGGTAGAATAGGATGGATGTGCTGTGTCCCGAACTCTGGTGCAGTGAGTGTGAGGCTAACAGGAGGGACTACCAGGTCTTGGACACTTATTATGCATTAATTGCTTTAAATAATATGAAGACTTAAACACAGTGTGGCAGGTCCGCACGATGGAATATTATTCAGCCATAAAAGGAATGAGGAGCTGATGATGCCTGCTACAATATGAGTGAACTTGAAAACATGAGTGAAAGAAGTCAAACATAAGAGTCACTTGTTCCACTGATTGGAAATGTCCAGAATAGGCAAATCCAAAGAAACATAAAATAGATTAACAGTTGCCAGGGCAAGTGGGGAATGGAGAGTGACTGTTAAAAGGCACAAGCTTTTCTGAGGAGTGATGAATATGTTCTAAAATTAGACGTCGGTGATAACTGTACAATCTTGTGACTGTACTAAAACCATTGCATTGTACACATTATTTTTTAAAATATTTTTGTTGTGCACTTTAAAATGCTGAATTTTAAGCCAGGCATATTGGTACATGCTTATAATCCCACACTTGAGAGACATAAGCGAGATCATTATGATTTGAGGCTAGCCTGAGCTACACGGTGAGACTTTGTCTCAAAACAAACAAAAAACCCCCTGAATTTTGTGGTATGTAAATTATATTTCTGTGAAAATAATATGAAAAACTGAAACACATGTACTAATACTTACCAGGTGCCCAGCACTATTCTAAATGCCTTCTGCGTATATTCACTTAACTTGGACAACCAATGGTTCTAGAAGGTAGGTATTTTTTAATTTTCTTTTTACTAATGAGAAAACTGAGGTTCAGAAAGGTTAAGTGACTTGCTGAGGTCACACAGCTACACCAGGTGGGAGTGAAAAACTGAGCAGGGGGAGTCTATCTTCAGAGGCTGTGTGCTTCCACCCTGTGATACACTGCTGCTCGGTTATAATTTATTTCAGGTCCCTCTTAAGTAAATCAGTGAGGGGAGTTTTATTACCTCCATTTACAAAAAAATAAAACACAAGCATGAAGCAGAGGCAGGAATCCAACTCCGAAGCACTCAGCCCATTTTGAGATGGGGTCACCTTCAGGTCTTGCTGGCAGCTGCCTCTGGCACGAGGAGATGAAGTGAACTCGGCCATCAGGGCTCTGCACCTCAGCACTGAGCTGACATAAGGTGTCCTCACTCAGGGCACACAAGCTTGGAAGCCCGACGTGTTTCCTCTTGACATCTTATGTTTATACTGCTTTTTGACTTCTCAAATAAGCAATTACATTAAGCAATCAAAAGTTGAAAAATTATTTTTCACAGTATCCTCACATAGACAAAATGACTTTGTTTCAACTATTATAAATATCGACTCCCATGTCTTTAATTCATTTTAGGTTTAAAAAAATAGCCATAAAGAAGAAGTGGGAGTCACGGTGGTTCATGCCTGTAATCCTAGCTACTCAGGAGGCAGAGCTCAGGAGGATTGGGGCTTGAGGCCAGCACAAATAGTTCCTGAGACCCCATCTCAAAAAGAACCCAACACAAAAAAGGGCTGGAGGAGTGGCTCAAGTGGTAGAGCACCTGCCTAGCAAGTGTGAGGCCCTGAGTTCAAACCCAGAACCACACATATACATACACACACACACACACACACACACACACACACAGAGAGAATTGGGGAGTTTTCAAATGGATTTCTCTATTTTTATTTTATTCTATAAAAAATGTCTATAGAAAAATAAAATGATATAATAAATGCCTACATACTCCTTACTTAGCTCCAACAAGAAGCCTAGGTTTCTACTTTCACAACTTATTAGTTTGGGGTTTTATCTGTTAGTACTTGTTAATCATTTTCTAAAAAGAACCAGAATATTCGTAGATTTGTTTCTTGATTATACATTTATAGACAGTTTACATTTTAGTCACTGTAATTCTCAATATTTTCTAAACTTTCCACAGTGAAAATGTAGCAGTTTTGCAATAGGAAACAACAACATTTTTGAATAATAGAAAAGTGTATTTCTTTAAGGGATCTATTCTTCCACTTGCTTGAAACTGCCTGTCACTCATCCTCCGGTATGGCATAAAATTAAGTTTTGGAGACATTCTTTTTGATGATAACATAGAATGTTTGTAAACCTAGGGAACAAAAGAAGGAAAAAACTAATAGCAGTGAAACAGAGCTGCTGAATAGAATTACTGTGGTCTATAGCAATCAGGAGAGTTTTTTTCATGAGATTTTTACTGGGTTTTGAACTCAGGGCCTACACCTTGAGCCACCCCACCAGCCCTCCCCTCCACTTTTTTGTATGGGTTTTTTTTTTTTTTTTTTTGAGATAGGGTCTTGTGAACTATTTGTCCAGGGCTGCCTTTGAACCTTGATCCTCCTGATCTCTGCCTCCTAAGTAACTAGGATTACAGGTGTGGGTCAGCAGTGCCCAGCTGCTTATTTTTATTAAGGAAGACTCAACCTTACTGAGAAATGCCGAAACTTTTTTTTCTGTGCTGGGGATAGAACCCTGGACCTCACACATACAGGAACATGACACACCACTGAGCTACATCCCCACTAAGGCTTCTTGTCTGGCCTTCCCTCAGCAGCTCATGGACCTGGTGAAGGGCAAGAACGTGACTTCACAGTGGTTTGTAAGGACCGGGAGTCAATATCACTGTGCATCAGGACAAAGCTGGCTAAACAGAAACTTAAGAACATCAGCCTGAGCTCAAAGATGATTATCTTCAGACCAAGATACAAACAAAACCAAATTTACGGAGATGAAGTTTACATATCATAAAACTCGTAACTCAATAATTTTTAGTAAACTTACATAGTTTTTTCAGTTCCTCAGAAACTACTCTTTCACACCTGCAATAACATTGCAAGTTCTAAGTTTACCAACAACCAGCTTTTGTGTGTCTGTGTTATGACATGTTTTATAACACCAGGTTGATTCTTAGAGCTGCAGTGGGAAGAATGACTTCTCAATTCCACTCAGTGCCATGTTCTGCCTTTGTAACGATAGCTTTGGCTCAAACAGCCTCTGTCAAGACTCAGAGACTTAAAGCAATACTCCAAACTTCTGGAAATCAGTGATCATTTCAAATGATTTACAAATTCAGCAGGGTGGTTTACACATTGTCAGCAATACTGCCCGAGGACCCCAATGAGAGGGTCCCCTGCTCTGGGCTCCACACTGTGACTGTATCCTAAGTGGGGCCTGAAGAGTCCATGGGCTGAAGGGTTCTTGTATCCCTCTCTCCACACCCTCCCCAACCATGCCTTGATGGTAGGACTCTGAATTCCCTGTCCATACCACTTCAAGCCTGTTTCTACATTGGAGCAGGTCTCCTCCTTGGGTCTGTCCTTCTTTTAGGTCTGTCAGAGCGTGTGATAGCTCCCAGGAAAGTTGGGTGATCCAGGAAGCTTGGATCTGTGCGCTGTGTTCGAATACATGCACAAAGCCCTTGTACTGGGGTGAGAAGAGAGGGGTGGCGTGTGGTGTGCTGAGGGTTGGGGTTAGATCTCTCTGCAATGCCTGAGAATTCTAAGAGCTTTTTTTTTTTTAAGTAGGAGTGGGGTTTGAAGTCAGGGCTTCAGCACTTGCAAAGCAGATGCTCTACTGCTTGAACCACACCTCCAGTCCACTTTGCTGTGGTTATGGTGGTCTCTGAACTATTTGCCCTGGTTGGCCTCAAACCAAGATCCTCATCTCAGCCTCAGTGGTACAGGCATGAGCTGTACCACTTTCTCCAGATCCTTGCTTTAGTTATTTTTTGACTAAGCCTGGCAGGGCAGGCCTGGACCACCTTTCTCCTATTTACACTTAGCTGGGATGACAGGTGAGTCACCACGCCCAGATTTTTTTTTTTTATTTAAATTGGTCGAAGGGGATTGGGGGTTGTTTCGTGAACTTTTTGCCCAGGTTAGCCTCGAACCACGATCCTCCCGATCGCCGCCTCAGGATTAGCTGGGATTACAGCTGTGAGCCACTGTGCGCGGCCGCATCTGTGAATTTGAGGACTGGACTGGATGTCCTCTAAGGTCCGTGGCAGCTTCAACATTCCATGATTCTGTTATTTTACAGGCTACCTTTGCAGCCGTGTTAACTGAATCCAGGAATTACTCAATTCAGTCGTCCAATAAGCAAACAGTGATTACAGTCTCTCATTGCGCGTAGGTGAATTTGGCCAGATGAGGAACTATTTTGGTGCCACTTCCGCCTCGAAACGTCCACCTCCTCGGTTCAGCAGAAAAAAATTTCAACACTTCCCACCATCGGGAGAGAGACTGCGCCAGACAAGAGCCGCGGGCTGTTTTGAAGCCCCACAGAGTCCAAAACGGAAGTGGTCCTCCAAAATTACTTTCCCGGGAAACTTGCACTTGAAAAACAATGAGTTTCTAATTCGCGTTTTCCTCAAGTTAACTCGGAGAGACACAACAAAACTTTCGCTTTCTGCACAGAGAACCACAGTCTCCTCCCAAGGAAGGAACCTTCCTCTCCAAGCGGCGGCAGCAGAGCGGAACCGAGAAGCCGAGGGCACTGGTTCTCCGTCGTGCTCTTCTCCGGACGGACCAGCCTCCCGGCGGGGTTGCCGTGGAGACCCGGCGCGCCGTGTGGATGCTGCGACTCGCCCTGGCGCGACCTTCGCTGCCTCTGTGCAGAGGAGGCTCCCGGGACCGACGCCAAGATGGTTAGTGACTCGGGATCGGGAGGGAGAACTTCGAGTAGGTCCTGGGCCTGGAGGTTAGGGATTCCCAGCACGCTTTGGGGTGACCTCCCTGTGTTCCCACGGGGCATAGGGAGGGAGGCAGACGCCGTGACTTGATGCTTTCTTCCCTCCTGCTTCTCCGTTTCCACGCACCCGAGCTGCACGTGGGAGGCCGAGATGACAGAAGCTGCGAGAGAGCGTTTCACGTGGGTGACAGAAGTTCGAGTGCAGGATGGTGGTCCTTTTAGTAAAATACAAAAGAATTTGAATAGGCTCCCGCGGGGCTTGTAGCTAAAGGATTCGACTTGTCAGTCGTGGAGCTGTCACTCTCAGTTTAAAACTGACCGTCAGAGAATTGGACCAAACAGTTTTCTTTGTTGTTTTTTCTCTTACAGATGCTTTCAAGGGCCAAACCTGCTGTAGGCGGGGAACTGGCGCACTCTGATAAAAGAAAGAAGAAGGGTAGGAAGATTCCAAAGCTAGAGGAGCTGCTTTCACAAAGAGATTTCACTGGCGCTATTACCCTCTTGGAGGTAATGTCTGCAGAAGATTGTCATGTCTGATGAATACTGGGGTGATTGCTGGTTGCTAAGGAGTTAAAACAGGTGGATGCATTCTGGAGGGGCTTCAAGGAAGCCCCGTAGTAAATCTAGTCAGCCACGGATCCCAGATTCCAAGTTAAGTATAAACTTGATTAAAGATGAACTAAAAAAAAAAAGGTTTTTTTGGGGGGGGATGGGAGGAAGTTGGGATTTGAACTCAGGGCTTTGCATTTGCAGAACAGGTGCTCTACTGCTTGAGCCACACCTCCAATGTATTTTGCTCTAGTTATTTTGGAGATGGGGGTCTCACAAACTATTTGTCCCTTCTGACCTGAACTTCCATCCTCCCAATCTCAGCCTCCCAATAAAAAAAAATTAGTATTTCTTGAGGGCCAACTTTTGATTATATCTAGTCCCATTGATGTTGGATCCAACCTGAAAATAGTGGCACTTAATATACTGTCAGTTCACACGTTGTTTATCCTAACTCCAGATCAATTTATAAACTATTCTTACTATTTTATAATTTTTTCAAGTTTACTTCTGTGATTATTTTAAAAATACTGTATCCCCAGAAAATATTTCAAATTTCCAAATATCTCAGTAGTTCTCACCTAAAAACAAAAATAGTGCCTGGTGTCAAATCCAGGGCCTCATACACGTGCTCTACATCTGATCTATGTGCCCAACCTCAGTAGCTCTCATCTTTTAATACATGTTAAAAGTAATTAGGGTAGTTATGTGTGTTTTCCTGGGCTCCTACCTTAACAATTCAGATTCTCTAGGTCTGCAGTAAGTGCTGGGGAATCTGCATTTTAGGTTAGTAGTCTAAGTGCTTCTGATGTAAATGATCCAAGGAAACTGCACTTTGAAAAACTACTCAGTTGGAAGCACAAGTTAGAGGAGAGTGCTGGGTGTACCAACCCAAGCATGAAGAGTTTCAACAGCATGTTCTTGTTTGTATTATATTACATTGCATTGCTTTTGTTTTTTTTTTCTTTGCGGTACTGGGTCTTGAACCCAGGGCCTTCACCTTGAGCGACTCCACCAGCCCAATTTTTTGTGGTAGGATCGCACGAACTATTTACCCAGGCTGGCATCGAACCACAGTCCTCCTGATCTCTGCCTCCTGAGTAGCTAAGATTACAGGCGTGAGCCACTGGCACCCAGCTTATTGCATTGTTTTGCATTTCTCCAGAGCACTACTCTTTAATCATGTTACTGTGAATCTTTCAATAATTGTTGCATTTAGCTTTACGTATATTTCTCGATCTTCCATGTATAGTCCTGTGTTAGATGTCTAAGCACATTGTTTAGCCTTTTTGGTGTCACCTTTCTCTCTCTTAAATTGGGAAAGTTGACTTGGAAAGACCTTCTAGCTCTGTAAGTCAGTGGACTAAGTGCTATGTATATGTCTGTTTTTGTCAGTTTAGTTTTTTTTCTCTCTTGTCTGTAAGACAGTGACCACATTTTTCTTTTTGTGAAATCCCAGACTAAATACTTTAAGTTGGCAGGGTGACTGCTGTATGCCTGCACTCTTAGGTAGCTAGTTGAAATGCCATGTTACAGGGGAATGGGGACTATTATGATTTGGGGTGGGCAAACTTCATGGGCTCTCCTGTAGCTCCAGGGAATTCCTGGAACCAATTCAAGGAGTCTTCAAGAATTTCCCCAGACTTAAGGCACTGGACCTAATTCACAGCATTTAGTGGAAGAGTAAATTCTTATCCCAGACAAAATAGTAAAATAGTACCAAAGGGATGTCTTCATCCTGTAATGACTAAGGCACTGAAGTGATACTCTGTTGAATATGTGTTGGCTCTCTATTGGGTTTATCACCTGATTGGAGTGAAGAAAACGTCTTACTTTACCATAGTAATTCAGAATCCTCCTTCAGAGTCTCATTCCTTTCCTCTAAAATAAGATTTTTCTTTTGTTGACTGAGGAATTCATAAACATTTTTTCACAGTGGACATACATGAGGCCAATCTTCTGTACATCCTTAACTCTTGTAACTGTAAGACCAAGCCTTTATATATATTGACCAAGCCTGGTCAAAAGTCGTAGAAGAATGTATATGTATGTGTGAATGTATATGTGTTCTAAAGCGAAAGGGTAGAAGTGTGAGGTTACATGCAGGAGAGCATGGAGGGTAGGAACACCGGCTTTGGAAGCAGACATCATTTTAAGTCCCTATTGCCATATACACTAGCTATGTGGCCTTGGATTCATGCTGAACCTTTCACTTATCAGCTTCAAATATTTCACATAATTCTTCTGTTCCTTTCACATCAACCAGAATTGTTAGATAACGTAAATACTTTCTAGAGTAAGATGTCAGTAAATACAGAAAAACAACTGTGAAACTTTTGAAAATATAAGTTTCTGTGACAATTGGAAAGTAATTGTGCTGAGTCCTATAGGTATAGGCTTAATTAAACTGTACATTGTCCTGTTTCTTTTACTTAGATTGCTGAATATTCATCAGTAACTTAACACAGCATTTGTTTTAAACCAACGATTTACCTTCCAAAGTTTTTCATGATGTTTTTTCATGAATTTTTAACCTGCAGTTCAAACGCCATGTTGGGGAACAAGAAGAGGATACAAACTTGTGGATTGGCTATTGTGCCTTTCACTTGGGTGACTACAAGAGAGCTCTGGAGGTGCGTTAGAAAAATATCTAATGGGAGTGTATTTAAAAGGATATTCAACTTTGTGTAGTAACAATACACACTCATGGTAAAATGCAAACAGCACAGAAGGAAACAAAGTAAAAAGAAAAAAACCCACCATATCTACCTCACCTAATCCTACCTTGTTAAGGGCCTTTTTAATGGATTGGTTTAGAAGTCTCCTCTCTGTATTGTAGCATGTGAATAAGTATCTCATTTACTTTTGATTCTTACATGGACACTGACAAGACTGTACGACATATTAGCATTAGTATGAGATTAAACACGGTCTCATGCAGCCTAGGCAGGTGCTCTCCGACTGAGCTTTACTCCCAGCCACATGCATACTTCTTAACTACACGTTCCGAAGAGGGAACGGGATCCATTTTGATGGAAACTTCCACGAGTCTTTTCTCAAAAGAATTTCGCTTTTATTTTATTAGATGGTTGTCAGACATAATCTTTTAAAATTTTTGTCAGTGTAATTGTTTTGGAAATTGTTTTCCTTGGTCATTGCATAGTTTATCCATCTGCAATGATTAATCTGTAGGATTTTTTTTTTTTTTTCTGGTACTGGTGGTTGAACTCAGGGCCTACACCTTAAGCCACTTGATTAGCCCTTTTTTGGTGATATTTTTTTTTTCTGAGATAGGACCTCACAAACTGTTTGCCCTGACTGGCTTGGAACCTCCCTCGATCCTCCTGATCTCTGCCTCCTGAAGTAGCTAGGATTGCAGGCTTGAGCCACTGAAGCCCAGCTAGGATTGTGGATCTAAATAAAATTATAGGTGCCTTATGTCAAGCAGTTTTTAATTTAAAAAAGAATCTGCTTAAACAGTTCTTATTTATTTATTGAGACAGAGTCTTTCTCTTGTAGCTCAGGTTGGCCTTGAACTCACTTTGTAGCCCAGGGTGACCTCAAACTCATTATCCCCCTATCTCAGCCTCCTAAGTGCTGAGATTACAGGCATGTACCACCATGCCTGGCTTCCTACATATTCCTATCCCAGAGTGTAATCTAAGGAAAGCCTAGTATGCTGGTGCACAACTGTAATCCCAGCACTCAGGGGACTGAGGCAGGAAGATTGTGAGTTTGGGGCCAGTTTCAGGTACATAGTAAGTTAAAGACTAGCCAAGGCTATATAGCAAGTTTGAAGCCAGAGTGATCTATATAGTGAGGCTTTGTCCCAAAAAAACTCCAAAAAAAATGTAATCTAGGGGAATTTTAAGAATCTCCATTAAAAAATGAAAATATTCATGACCAGGTAATAAAGAGGCGAGGTGAAGAAGAAAAATTGTTGAAGGAAAAGGGAAGATGTGAAAAAGGATAGAGTCGAGGCTGATAGAATTGATAAAAGATAGAGGAGGAAAGAAAGGGTGCCCTAATACAGGAAGAAAAATAAATTAAGTCACCTGAGACAGACTGACCAAAAGGAAGAACATACAGAAAATGTGGTTGACAGAATGAATCTCAGAAAGTATCCTTGGCAGAAAACAATACCTCTAAATGTAAAACCAAGTCAAAACAATCATCAAAGCAGGAAAATATTAGAATGAAATTAAATTTATAGTGTATTAAAGTTATAGGAGTTAAAGTTAATTCAACCTATGTATTTAATATCTTTGGCATGTCTTTTTAAGTTAGAAAAAATAGCATATTTGTGTTGCTTTTCATTTCTGACATTTGTTAGTCCATATGATTGCTAAGCATGGTGAAGACAAGTGTCTTATTACAGGGACAATAGCCCTCACAGGTGGGATTGAGCTCAGTTTCAGAATTTAACCCTTTCAGGGGTAGGATTCCCCAAATGTGAAGTTGCCATATCTCAGGGAGAAACTCAATTCCATTATAGAAAAATGGCGTTACTGCCCAATGAGATCATCACTCGATACATATTTCAGGAATATGAAAATGCAACGAAGGAGGAAAATTGCAACCCTGAAGTCTGGGTGAATCTCGCCTGCACCTACTTTTTTCTTGGGATGTATAAACAAGCGGAAGCAGCTGGATTTAAAGGTAAGAGGGGCTCTTTTTATATCTGAGTCATTTTGGAGATTTTATTCCTTTTTTTAAGGAGGATAAAGCCAACTGACATTAGAAAGCTAAAAAGTAGCTATACTCCTTGAAAAATGTTGGATTTGGTCAACTTTGTGCTTAAAGAGAGAATCAGTTCCTTTCATCTTCCCTGCAATGCCCCACCCCAAGAAGTTAGAGCTGAAAAGCAGAAGGATGAAAGAAGAAAAAGAGCAAAGCATCTTTGTTAGGCCCCATCATGGGAAGACAGTCCTGCTGTTAGGAGTACAGTGCGTAGGTGCAGTTGTTGAAGCTCTCATGATTGTGGTTTGCATAGCAGCCAGTTTCTAAGTGAGAAACACAGTAATTTCAGCTCAAACAATCCAGATGCCTTCCCTTCTGCTTTCTTTCTTATCATGACAGTTGTCCCAGGAGAATTATACTCAGATTTGCAAATAAGAGTGGGGAAAAGGGAAATGTGGGAGAAAAGATTAAGCTTAACTAGAGTATAAATCAAGTTAAATTCAAGGAAATGCAGAGAAAGTGGGCAAGGGAATGTTTGTGAGGAGATTTATTAGGAAGGAATCTATTCCAGGGTAGAATTCATATATAGAATGGGAAATGTGGAACTTGAAGCCTTTCTTGATTTGTACCCAAGCTGAATTGTAGGTACTAGTGTAGTTTCTCCTAATTTAGTCCTAGGGTCTTTTAAAGGATATATGTTATTTCATGTTTCTAGACTCTGTGCCTAGCAGAGGGTTAGACACCTAAAAAGTGATTGAGGTAGCTCTCGCCATTTTCCATATTCCTTTTTTTGGCGGTACTGGTGTTTGAACTCACGAGTCTTGAACTTCTAAGGCAGGTGCTCTACCACTTGAACTGTGCCCCCAGCCCTTCCATTTTCATATTTAGTGCATGGATTCATGAATTTTTTTCTGTAAAAGAGGTATAGAATTGGTGTCCCGAATCAGGAAATTTTCAAGGAGTATAAAGGAGATTGGAACTTGAAAAGCATTAACCTTTTGTTTAAGTGTGATACATTATTATGATAGAAGACCCGTGTGTAAAGATTGGGCTAGTTTTTAGGAAAAATAAAACAATATAATTTTGGGAAAGGAGATTTCAGAAGGAACCAAGAGAGAATACTGGATGAGAAGCAAACAGGAGTGGACTTCTGCATCTCCTGAGATACCTGTGCTGCTTGGTTCAATGTTGAACACCACAGAGGTGGGCTGTTACAGCTGGGTGTGTGTGGAGTGCTGTGCTGAATCTTAGGACCTGTCTCTGCTAGTGCTTGATGGTGCTGGTGTTGCTACAACTGGAGAGCAGACAAAACCATATTTATTACAGCACAGAACTATCAGGACCAGAGAGGTAAGGATTTGGGGAGATTCATCTGAGTCTCATTTTATTCTTGAGAGGGACTAAGTGCTGTAGACTATTGAGTTCTGTAATAAGCAGCTTGGGTTTTTTTTTTTTTTTCAGCTCCAAAGAGTCGGCTCCAAAACCGCCTGCTGTTCCATTTGGCTCACAAGGTGTTTATGTTCTCATTTTACATTTTTGTCTTAAAATATTTTTCTCTTACTTCCATCTAACCATCAACAATAATGAAGGATACTTATCTAGAAATTCCTGTTTATGGTATTACTAGAACAAGTGGAATATAGATGCTAATTTTGTAGACTTTTCCCCGTCATTGGTCTTTATCTCTTAATTCAGACATACTCAGCAGTCACTTCAGAAGCTTACTGTGTCAGCTTTCCTGTTCTCTCTTAGGAGACGGACTCAGAGACACCTTGTTGTGATCCTGGGAGTAGATTTACACTTTCCTCATGGCAATAACTTTAATCATTATAAAGTACTGGGTTTTGAACTCAGGACCTCTTGCTTACTAGGCAGGGGCTCTACCACTTAAGCCATGTCCCAAGCCCCAAAATGATTTTTTTAATAATAAATTTTCACATTATAAAAGTTATGCACACTTATTTTTTTTAATTTTTAAAAATTTTATTCATATGTGCATACAATGTTTGGGTCATTTCTACCCCCCTCCCCCCCACCCCCTCGCTTATCCCTCCCCCAACCCCTCCCTTACCCTAATCCCTCGCTACCAGGCAAAAACTATTTTGCCCTTATCTATAATTTTGTTGAAGAGAGAGTATAAGCAGTAATAGAAAAGACCAAGGGTTTTTGCTAGTTGAGATAAGGATAGCTATACAGGGAGTTGACTCGCATTGCTTTCCTGTACATGTTTGTTACCTTCTAGGTTAATTCTTCTTGATCTAACCTTTTCTCTAGTTCCTGGTCCCCTTCTCCTATTGGCCTCAGTCACTTTAAAGTATCTGCTTTAGTTTCTCTGTGTTCAGGGCAACAAATGCTATCTAGTTTTTTGGGTGTCTTACCTATCCTCACCCCTCCCTTGTGTGCTCTCGCTTTTATCATGTGCTCAAAGTCCAATCCCCTTGTTGTGTTTGCCCTTGATCTAATGTCTGCATATGAGGGAGAACATACGATTTTTGGTCTTTTGGGCCAGGCTAACCTCACTCAGAATAATGTTCTCCAGTTCTATCCATTTACATGTGAATGATAACATTCCATTCTTCATGGCTGCATAAAATTCCATTGTGTATAAACACCACATTTTCTTAATCCAAACATCAGTAGTGGGGCATCTTGGCTGTTCCCATAACTTGGCTATTGTGAATAGTGCTGCAATAAACATGGGTGTGCAGGTGCCTCTGGAGTAACCTGTGTCACATTCTTTTGGGTATATCCCCAAGAGTGGTATTGCTGGATCATATGGTAGATCTATGTTTAGAATTTTAAGAAGCCTCCAAATTTTTTTCCAGAGTGGTTGTGCTAGTCTACATTCCCACCAGCAGTGTAAGAGGGTTCCTTTTTCCCCGCATCCTCACCAACACCTGTTGTTAGGGGTGTTGCTAATGATGGCTATTCTAACAGGGGTGAGGTGGAATCTTAGTGTGGTTTTAATTTGCATTTCCTTTATTGCTAGAGATGGTGAGCATTTTTCATGTGTTTTTTGGCCATTTGAATTTCTTCTTTTGAGAAAGTTCTGTTTAGTTCACTTGCCCATTTCTTTATTGGTTCATTAGTTTTGGGAGAATTTAGTTTTTTAAGTTCCCTATATATTCTGGTTATCAGTCCTTTGTCTGATGTGTAGCTGGCAAATATTTTCTCCCACTCTGTGGGTGTTCTCTTCAGTTTAGAGACCATTTCTTTTGTTGAGTGGAAGCTTTTTAGTTTTATGAAGTCCCATTTATCTATGCTATCTCTCAGTTGCTGAGCTGCTAGGGTTCCATTGAGAAAGTTCTTGCCTATACCTATTAGTTCCAAAGTATTTCCTACTCTTTCCTGTATCAACTTTAGAGTTTGTGGTCTGATATTAAAATCCTTGATCCATTTTGAATTGATATCAGTATAGGGTGATAAACATGGATCTAGTTTCAGTTTTTTGCAGACTGTTAACCAGTTTTCCCAGCAGTTTTTGTTGAAGAAGCTGTCTTTTCTCCATTGTATATTTTTAGTTCCTTTGTCAAAGACAAGTTGGTTATAGTTGTGTGGCTTCATATCCGGGTCCTCTATTCTGTCCCACTGGTCTTCGTGTCTGTTTTTGTGCCAGTACCATGCTGTTTTTACTGTTGTTGCTTTGTAATATAGTTTGAAGTTGGGTATTGTGATACCTCCAGCATTATTCTTTTGACTGAGTATTGCCTTGGCTATTCGTGGCTTCTTGTGTTTCCATATAAATTTAACGGTAGATTTTTCAATCTCTTCAATGAATGTCATTGGGATTTTGATGGGAATTGCATTAAACATGTAGATTACTTTTGGGAGTATAGACATTTTTACTATGTTGATTCTGCCAATCCATGAGCATGGGAGATCTGTCCACTTTCTATAGTCTTCCTCAATCTCTTTCTTCAGAAGTGTATAGTTTTCCTTGTAGAGGTCGTTCACATATGCACACTTATTTTATCAAAGAAAATATACATAAAACAAAAAAAAACCTAAAGGAAATTGTATCTACCATATCTTAAAAATAAGTACCTTTAAGCCTTTTAGTATATTTTCTTTTAGAATACTTGTTTTTATATGTATACGTCTCCATTTGTTTCTTTCCAGCACAGAATGAGATTCATACTGAATATATATTTTTGAACTTGCTTTATTTAACTTATCTTTATACTATGAGCATATTCTGAGTCACTTAGCAGACTTCAAATCATGATCTTTCAAATGGCTCTATAGTGTTCCATCATAAGCACCATGCCATATATTCTTTAACAGTTCCTTGTTGTTTGACTTTTAGATGGTTTCTTATTTTTACTTATAAAAATGTCATTATGAACGTGCTAGGAATTGACTTGCTGGGTGAATTAAATCTTTTCACTAATATCACCTATGGGCAGTATTTAAGAATTTCACACTATTGTCATCACCCTTTCTTTTTTGCCATGCTAGGAATTCAACCCAGAGCCTTGCACATGTTAGGCAAGATCTCCACCACCAATTTCCCCAGCCTTTGGCTTTTTGAGGCAGGATCAGCTCAGGCTGACCTTGAACTCATGATCTTCCTCCCATAGTGTCCTGAGTGCTGAGATTACAGGCATGTACCACCATACCTGTCTCTTTTTAGTAGTTTTGTCGACTCACTTTTCATGTTTTTTATACCCTGTCATTAAATACATACAAATTTAGAATTTTTATGTCTGTCTAGTAGATTGAAACATTTATTGTCAGGAAATGTCTAACTCTGGAGATTTCCTCCTGTCTCATCCGTGTGCATATACCAACTCTTGTCAGTGTTTGCCTATTGTGTCTTTCTCACTTTCTGTGAGCCCCTTTGACTTTTCGTTGTTTTGTTTCACTTTACTGGAGCTTGAACTCAGGCCTCCTGCTTGATAGGCAAGTGCTGCTCAGTCACTTGAGCCTCAAGGAGCCCTTTTATGCTTTAGTTATTTTTTTGTCTGGGGCAAGCCTTGGACTGCCATCTTCCTACATAGGCCTCCTGCATAGCATGGATCACAGGAGCAACCCACCGTGCCCTGCTTGTTGGCTGAGATTTTTGCCTGTGCTGGCCTCAAACCATAATCTTCCTAATCACCACCTCCTGAGTAGATGGGATGCCTGGCCCATTTACTGGTCATCACGCCTGGCCCAAGTGTTCCCATTTAAATAATATAGGAATGAGTTTTATGAGTTTTTTAATCCAGTAAAATATTCGTTAAAGAAAAACCTCTAGTATTTCATTCATTAAAAAATGAATGAATCAGCTCAGTAGCTGCCATCTTACTGTTTGTTTTCTGTTTGTCGCAGCTGGCCTGTATTCCCCACTCTGTCCTTCTGTACTTTTTGAACTGATTTTTAAAAGTCCATACTTGCCCTCCATTGGCTTGCCAGCTCTGCAGACTTTTAATATTAGAACACATATCTTTTGCATATTGAAACCTAATATATTACTGTGACTTTTGTGAGTTTCTGTACAATTAAAGAGCCATGGATCATTTTACCTCATTTGCTCCTTTCCATCCTTTATGCAGATTTAAAATGCACTTGATCATTTCTGTGTGCTTTTAACCTCATGTGATAGTGTTACATTGTTTTATGAAGGGGACTCACTTACTCCTATTTGTCCTTCTATTGCTGTTCATTTCTCACAGTCTCATGGTTTCTGCCCAGGCCAGCTTGGCACTAACTCTAATAAATTTTCAGCTATGCCTAGTAATTCTAGTAACCATGTCTCTTGACAGTTGATACAGGGTTTTGGTCAAATGGTCTTATCTCCTGGTGTGCTTGGTGGTGTTTCATTTAGTGGTGGCTATTGTGTATGGAAAGATACAGAGATGATTTGAGGCACTGGGTAAGTTTGTCTTCTTCCAGAGAGGATTTACTTTTGCCTCTGATAGGTGTAGAGGATACAGGAAATCAACTCATTCCTGTCAGGGTTTTCACTGATTTGAAGCTGAGCTTCAGTTATTCTGAGCACTAGTCTATTTCCATTTACCTCTTGCCAGGGGTCTTAATGAACAGCCTCGGTGGACCCTGACTCCTAATAAACTTGTTCATGAACTCCATAAGACTTTTGAAACTCTGCTTAAGTCTTCAGCATCTCAGTCACCAATTGGGAACTGGCAGATGTCTTGAGAGAAAACCAGTGCAAACTATCAGCCTTACCTCCCACCTTTTAACTCGCATTGGATCTTGGCGTCTCAAATCTTTATTACCTTGGTAGCTCTTTGATGTCTTCATGTAAATTTTTGGTAGTTTTTAAACTTGTAGATGTTCTTGGTGAGAGGACTTTAGAATATAGTAGTTATATCTATTTGTCTACCACATTAAGATTGAAATAACTTATAAATATTATCTGTAATAGGGCTGGGTCCATAGCTCAGTGATAGAGCACCACACACACACATACACACACCCCATAATATATCAGTGACTTGACTGTAAGTCAGCTTCAGAATTTATTATTTTGTGGAAATAGATTCTTTAAGAAATTTTTTATTGGAATATAAGTTTTTATTTTTTATTATCATATGTTCATTGTACAGAGGGGATTCATTGTGACAATTCCGTGTAGGCTTATATTGTACATTGCTTAGATCACCCCCACTTCTCTCCCTCTTGACCCCCCCGCCCCACTTAAAACTATTCCAAGAGGTTTCTTTGTTCTATTTCATATAAATATGTGAAATACATTAACCGTATTTCCTCATCTTAATCTCCTTCATTCCCCCTCCCTCCCCCACTTTAAGAAATTTTTAAGTGAATAAGCCAATCTGTACAGCAGGTAGGAGTGAACAATATCCATATTAAGAGTCACTGTCAAAAACATATGAGCGAAAGGCAGCTATTATTTGCAGACATCATTTAATAAGATCAGCATGCAAGGTTAGAATGGAATTCTGACAACCTAAAACAACAACAATGTATAGTAACTGAAGAGAGGGTGAAAAAATCTGGAACAGAAATTAAAAATTGCATTCACTAAGTTACATGATGAGAAATACATTCTGATCATATATAATCCACCAAGGAGAGAGATACAAAATAGCAGATAAATAATTGTTAAAGGGTGAGAGCAAAGAGATGTAGGGGGAAAAAAAGGGGAGAAAATATAAAGAAAGCAAAGAAAAAAAAAGGCAAGGGTATAGGAGTGTCACATAATTAATACAAGTTGTGTCTTCAAGACTTTTCATTGCAAGATTGTCTCCAGAGGCTTTTATGTTCTTTCCCTGGAGGAGAGAGGAGAAAGACAAGGAAGTAAGGAATAGGGAGAAAATAGAGACACAGCAGCTGGAAGGAGGATGAAGAGGAGTTAAAAATCTCCATCACACAGGTGTGATTTCACTGTACACTAATGTGCATCTTTCTGTGTCTTGTTTTCTCTCACAATTTTAGTTTAATGATGAGAAAAAATTGATGAACTTTCATCAAAATCTTCAGGATATCACAGAAGACCAACTCAGTTTGGCCTCAATCCACTATATGCGATCTCATTATCAAGAAGCTATTGATATATATAAGCGAATACTGCTGGATAACAGGTCTGTGTCTTTGATGCCTGCTTGAAACCTTGTTTTGTTAATTTCTCATAGTGTCCTTTGGATCTCATATGGCTATGTGTTCAGATCTGTTTAGTGGACAATCTGGTGAGGTTAAGAATCTTTCAATAGTATTCAAGTCAGGCTCTCTCTGTCTTCTTCATTATCACCCTTCCAAGGAGCATGTTAGACTGCTTTTTCTCCCAATTGCCATGATAGATACTGATATATATATACTGATAAATACTTAATAAGATGCTACATTTGATTATAAATATTATATATGTTTGTATACTATATACCTGTGCTTTCATATAAAATGAGTACAATTTTTTCACATCTCCCTGGCCCATAAGAACTACTTTTTTCCCCTTTTGGAGTAACATTGAGTTGATAACCTATAACAACAACATACGTGTTGGAAATGCATGGTCTAGGCCAGGCATGGTGGGACATGCTTATAATCCTAGCTACTCAGGAGGCAGAGGCAGGAGAATTGAGAGTCCCAGGTAAGTCTAGGCAAAGGTAGCCAAAGTCTGTCTCCAAAATAAAATAAAATGACACAGGTACTTTGGAGGCAGAGATAGGAAGATCACTGTTCCAGGCCAGTGGGCAAAAAAGTTAACTGAGACCCTATCTTAAAAGCAAAAAAAACCAAAACAAGTCAGTTGTGATGGTGCCCACTTGTGGTCCCACTTACTTAAGAGGCAAAGGTAGGAGGATCTTGGTCTGAGGTTGGCCTGAGGTTGGCCAGGCAAATGCATAGGACCCTATCTAAAAATAAACTAAAACAGGCTGGATGTATGACTCAAGTGCATAGTAAGCATGAAGTCCTAAGTTCAAACCCCAGTACCACAGTCAATCAATTAATCAATAAATATCAAAAGGCTGGGGATGTGACTCAAATGGTAGAGGGCTTACCTAGCATGTTCAAGGTCTGAGTTTCAATCCCTAGAACCAGCCACACACCCCCCCCCCACCAAAAAAAAAACCAACAAATGGAGAAAAAGAAAGAAAATGCAGGTCTAGATGTATCTCAGCAGTACAGGGACATTGAAAGTAACTTGCTGAAACAATCAGGAACCGATCTTCTTGAAAAATTAGCATTCCTACTTTTCACTAAGCCCTCAGTCTGTCCCATGCCCCTGAGCATCTCACCGCCTTCCTTCTTCCCTCTTTCGCATTCCTCCACAGTCTCCCACCTGTTTCCATTTCCAGTCTTCAAGCTTGTCTGTCTGTCCTCTCTATGCTGGCTGTGAATTTGTTTTTATGCTCAATTCCAGCATGCGTTCATTTTTCAGAATGAACAGCATGACCTTTTCCCTTGCTTTTCTAATTGTCATCTTTTACTGTACTTATATCAAAACACCTAAAATAAGCCACGCAAGGTGAGGCATACCTGTAATACCCAGCTACTTGGAGCTAAAGCAGGAGGTCCATTGATTTCAGGCCTAAATAAATAAATTAATTAATTAAAAGTACCCTGCTATTACAATGCAAAGAGAGAAAAAAATTGCTTTGGTTATATCTTGACTTCTTCCTTCAGAAGGCAAATTCTTGACCTGTCCTCTTTGCCCTGTTGTCCAGTTGAGCTTTGTAGTTTGACATTTCTGAGAAGCCATCATAAAGCGTTCACCCTTGATTCTTTCCTCTCTTAGGGAGTACCTTGCTCTCAATGTCTACGTGGCCCTCTGCTACTACAAGTTGGATTACTATGATGTATCTCAGGAAGTCCTGGCTGTTTATCTTCAGCAGATTCCTGACAGCACCATCGCACTCAACCTTAAGGCCTGTAATCACTTTCGCCTTTACAACGGCAGAGCAGCTGAGGTAGTGATGCAGATGTGTTTCTAACTGACTTACTTCTATTCCAAACTACTTTATAACTTCCCTGATACTCATTAAACTCTATTATCGGTAACTTTTCATTAATATCCCTTGCTAGACTGGGGGTGTGGCTTAAGTGGCAGAATGCCCACCCAGCAAGCATGAGTCCCTGAGTGCAAACCTCAGTACTGCCACGAAAAAAAATTTCCCTTGCTCATTGCCAGTATGATTCTATAGGAACCTAATGGTATAAATATTTTTATTTATCACATATTCTAAAAAGAATGGATTTTTTAATTCTGTGTTGTATCTAATATGGTATGGATGGTTTTACCTACATGCCTTGTGTTAAATATGTTTAAAACCAAATGCTTCAGTTTCTTCCTTTAAGATGTGACTGAATATCACCAACATATGCCCAGCAAACCACATCAGAAAACTGGGATCTCTGTCACTCTCTCCTCCTTCATCAACTTGTAGAAAGATCTTCACTGTAGAACTGGTGGATACCAGATCCTACCAGTTCTACATTGAAAATCTCTCTCTCTCTCTCTCTCTCTCACTCTGTTTTTTTGGGGTTTTGTTTTTTTTCTTCAGTCCAGCCATGGAATTTGTTGCACGTGCCATTACTGTCTTATCTCCATAGCTTCAGAAGTATCATTCCTGGAATGAAGTCCTTGCCTTCTGTCTCTGACTGATACACTTCAACATTCCTGGAATGAAGTCCTTGCCTTCTGTCTCTGACTGATACACTTCAACTTCTCCTTTAAGATTACCCCAAGAGGTAAACGTGGTCGACGTTTCATAAATACTTAAAAATTGGCTCACTTATAGTCACTGTGCAGAATACTTCATATCTATTCCTTATTTTCCCTGACAAGCCTGTGGATAAATTCTGTTAGAGCTCTCCTTCTGTAGGAAACTGAGAGAATATAGAAGGCCGTGCATTATCTTCTTATTTTATTTAACATTTTCAAAATAAAATATAATTTAAAAAACATTTTAAATAATATAATGTTACTTAATGTTATGTATACACATATACATATATACATATGTGGTAAATATATACTTGTGTACATATGCGTGCATATATAGACATAAAAGAGAGAATGTGTTCTATAGTATGTACACATAGCATACATAAATATATAGATAAAAATGGTGTTTTTAGGTTATCCCTAAGAGGGAACCATGCTTTGAAATTACTTCCATGACTGTTATTTTAGTTGATTTGACAACCAAAATTTAAGTGTAAAATTTCTATATCTGTCAAAATTTTTAAATCGTACCCTTGCCCCAAAAGTAGTTCCAGTAGGCTTCATGCCACCTTTAGGTAGAGGAGGAGAGAGAAGGAAACTTTTAAACCAGCAAATTAACTGTGAAAACAAGATTTATTGAGGAAGTGTAACAACAAGGAGAACTGTGGGCAGACTTCACACTGACAGTGAATTTAACCCCTGAGTACACAGTGTTCAGGAGTGGGCGAGGAAGTAGTGGAAGGAGGGCACACACATGTCCTTAGCATAAACCCAGATTCACATTTCCTGGCTCACATAAATAAAGGTGGTCAAAATAAGTACTTGGCAATTAAATTACTTCATATGCAACTGAGGTCCATTTATATATTATAAAAAAATACATTCAGAACTGAGCATGGTGGTGCACATCTGTAATCCCAGCACTCGGGAGGCTAAGGCAGAGAGAGGATCTTGAGATAGAGGCCAGCCTGGGCTATATAGTGAGTTCTAGGACAGCCTGACCCACATAGCAAGACCTGAGACTTAGTCTCAAAATAAACAAACAAACAAATCTAAAATTCTTGGGATAATAGCCATTTCAAGTCAAGAGTCCCCTAAATCTGCCTAATGGGCTAGTGTTTCCAGCAACAGCACTTAAGAGTAGACTAGATTTATGATTTGATCTCTGAATTTTACCCTTCAGTCAGAACAGATAAAAGAAGTATATTCTTGCCTTCCTAGCTTGAGCTAGTCTTGGGAACCTTGCCAATTGTGTGTAAGGCCCAGCTTGTTAAATGTTTACGTTTCATGTCCTCTCTGCACGAGGTCTGGTCTGGATGGCATTATGGCTCAGTCCTCTGTAGACCTGGAGCTCTCTGGGTCAGGATGCTGGACTGTACTTTCCAATCCCAATGGCAGGCTTTTTCTCCTGAAATTCTGTCAGTGCAGCATACATGTCCATTTTATAATACATTCCAGTAGCAGATGGCTATGTCAAAGGAACCTTAAGGACTACCCCCTCCAGTACCACTAGGATGTAATTTGTAATTAATTATATCATTTTTTAAAGCCATTTAAAATCAGGCATTCTTCTAGTAACTGTATTTGAAACATAGTCAAATCTATCCTTTTTCTTTATGTTTATTGTTTTCTGTATCTTGTAACTTCTAGAGCCCTGTTTAGTCTCTCACAAATACTAGTAATGTTCTGTTTTTCTGTAGTAAGCATGAAACAGTCTGTAATGATTGACTTTACTCTTAAAGTAGTTTTAGTAACTCACTCAAAGTCACATAATTAACATAACACATGGCAAATTCAGGTCTCAAATCCTTGTCTAACTAATACTAAAGCATATAGACTTATTCACTGAAACTTACTGCAAATTTAGGGGTACTTTCCTCTTGCTCTTAATATACACACATACCCCTATATATATACATATATATATATATATATATATATATATATATGTATATATATACACATATCTCTACTGTCATGTGTATTATTTGGAGCTTCTAGTTGTCTTCAATCTAGGTAGCTCATGGCAGGTAAAGACTGCATGTTAGACATTTGTGTCCCAGGACCAGGCACAATACATGTACACAGTTAATGCCAAATATGTATTGATTGAAGGAGAAATTAAAAGTAAGACTCAAAGAGAATTACCTTTAAAGGAAGAGGGGCAAAAGAGGTCAGTAAGGATGAAGATTGAGAAAAGGCCATTTGTTTTCATTTCAAGTAGAGTATCCTTTATCCACAGTACTTGGGTCCAGAAGGGAAGAGTTCAGGTTTTTGCATTTTGGAATATTTGTACAGATTTTTCCAGTTGAGCATCTGTAATCTGAAATTCATGTCAATGCTCACAAAGTTTCAGGTTTCAGAGCATGTTGGAGCTTGGACTTTTGGGTTCAGCCTGTGCTATGATTTCTACATTTTTACTCTCATTAGGATATCATTATTATTTGGGCTTGAAGCCAGGTTGCAAGGAAATAAGGAGTGACAACCCAGATTGGGAATTAAAGGATGTGGTGAAGGAATGACAAATAGGTGATTGGGAGCCAGTGGCTCATGCCTGGAATTCTAGCTACTTGGAAGGCTAAGATCTGGAGGATCTCGGTTTGAGGCCAGTCCAAGCAAGTAGCTTGCAAGACCCCATCTCCAAAATAGATACTGAAAGCTGTTGAATAATAGGGGGTGGGAGAGAAGGGGTAAGGGAGAGTAATAGCGGGGGTTAGACTAACCAAAGTACAGTATATTCACAACTGGGATACATTGAGACACCTCTTTGAACGCTGATTTTGGAATTAAAAATGAAAGACAGGACTGTAAAATAGGTCCTGGGGGGGGACTTGTGGTGGGGGGAGGGTAAGTGGAGATGAAAGAGAATGCATATAGTTGGTGTGCTTTGTACACATGTATGAAGTAGAACATTGAAATCTTTTGCAGTTGTTTTAGGTGGGGCAGGGAGGGGGATGAGGGGGAGAGATGGTGGAGGCGAACCTAACCAATATACAATGTAAGGCTCTTCAGAAATGTCACAATAAATGCCCCCTGTACAATTAATGTATGCTAATAAAAGTGAAAAAAATAACAAAATCGCCAGGGCCTGCTTTGTAAGCACGAAGGCCTGCATTCAAACCCCAGTCCCACAAAAAAAGGAAGAAAGGGAGGCAGCGAGGGAGGGAAAGAAGGAAAGAGAGAGAGGGAGGAAGGAAAAGAAGGAAGGAGAGAGAAAAAGAAAGAAGGAAAGAAAAAGAAGGAACAGCACCAAATGTAGGATGCTGGTAAAAGTAAGGAGAACACCACTGATTTCAGAGGCTGAAGAACTTTTCCTCTTAAACTGGGAAGGCATTTTTGGGTAGTGATTAAGAATTTGATATTAAGGTCCTAGCAATGCTAGGAATCTCTGTATAGCTACCCTTATCTCAACTAGCAAAAACGCTTTGTCTTTCTTATTATTGCTTATGTCTTCTCTTCAACAAAATTGGAGAAAAGGGCAGAACCTGTTCTGCCTAGAAGCGGGGCGGGGGGGGGGTAAGGGGGAAGAAAAGGAGGGGGTGGGGGCAGGGGGGAGAAATGGCCCAAACAATGTATGCACATATGAATAAATGAATTAAAAAAATTTAAGATTAGAATCATGTATACCCAAATTTTAATCTTGATTTAGTAGATATGTGACTGTAGGTGAAATAATTAACCTCCTTCAGCAGTTTAGGGAAACCATAATACTGATCCATTGTAGGTTGTTGTGAGGATTCAATAATATGATTGTGTAAAGTCCTTAGCTTGAGATACACAGCAAACTCTCAGCAAATATTAGCAACTATCAAAGATTTTATAGGCTGAAATATAGTCACATTAATTTTTTTCTTTGTATTTAATGCTTTCTATATCTTGTTTAAGACATAGGGGCTAGGAATGTATCTCAGGAGTAGAGTGCCTATCTAGCATGCATGAGGCCTTGGGTTTGCACCAACATTGCATAAAAAGAAAGGAAGGAGGGAGAGAAGGAGGGAGGGAGGAAGGGAGAGAAGGAATGGGGAGGAAGGGAAGGAGGGAGGGAAGAAGAAAGGAAAGAAGGAAGGGAGGAGGGAGGGAGAGAGGGAGTGGGGAGGAAGGGAGGGAAGGAAGGAAGGAAGGAAATAATTTCTTAACCCAAGTGGTGGAGAGGCTCAAGTGTTAGAACACCTGCCTAGCAAGCATGAGGCCCTGAGTTCAAACTTCAGTACCACCAACACAAACAAACAAAAAATTACATGTGAGCCAAACATTGTATGCACATATAAATAAAAAAAAAATTACATGTAATTTTGCTAGATTTAAAAAGATTAATTTCTGTGGCACCCTCTCTTGGGACCACCCCTCCCCTCCGCCACTGTGGGGGTTCTACTCTCCCACTTTACTTGCAAAAAAAAGGATTAATTTCTCCAATTAAAAGACAAAGATTAGTACATGAGAAAAGACAAAATCCTAATTAATATATGCTTTAAATAGGAGAACAGAAAATTTGAATGTAAAAGGATGTTTCATATGGAATATTTCTTACGTGGTTTGTAGCATTTGTGTCATGCTTTTAGAAAGGTCATTTTCACTCTAACGTAGATATAAAATAACCGTATCTTCTGTTTACAGTTTTATTTTTAAACAGCCTTATTGAGATACAATTAACATACTATATAATTCATCTTTTTAAAGTGGACAATTCAATGGTTTTTAGTATATTCACAGGTTATTTGTAACTATGACCACAATCTTACAGCATTTCCATCATTATAAAAAGAAATGCTATACTCCTTAGCTATCGATCCCTCTGTACCCATTCTGCCAACCCCAAGAACCTGCTAATTGACTCTATAACCATGTACTTGCCTATTCTGGATATTTCATTTAAAGAAATCATGCAGTATGTGGTCTTTATAACTGGTTTCTTTTGCTTAGCATAATGTTTTATAAGTTTATCATGTTGTAGCATGTACCAGCATTTCATTCATTTTTATGACCAAATAATTTTCATTTGTTTGCATATTCCACATTTTGTTTTTCCATTCATCAGTCAATGAACAGCTGGGTTGTTTCCACCTTTTGTCTTATGAACAGTGTTGCTATAAACATTCTTGTCCAAGTTTTTGTTTGGGCACATGTTTTCATTTCATTTGGATATATAAATACAGTGCAATCTCTGGGTCATACAGTAAATCCACAGTTAATTGTTTGAGGAGCTACCAGGCTGTTTTCCAAGGTAACTGAACTATTTTCTATTCCCACCAGCATGTATAAGGGCTTCTGTTTTTCTAAATCCTTGCCAGCAGTTATTTTCTGACTTTGACTCTAGCCATTCTAGTGGGTACAAAATGGAATATCCCTGTTCTGATTTGTTTTCCTGATGATTAGTGATGCTAAACACCATGTCATGTGCTTGGTGGCCACTCGATCATCTTTGCAGTGATAGCTAGTCATGTTCTTTGCCTACTTTTACATGGTGGTTTCCCACCTTGTGCTGGCTCTAGGCTTGCTTTTGGTCCTTCTTATTTGTCAAGACTGTCAACAAGGCAATCAACAGAATGAGTATTCCCTTAAATTTTGTCCCTGGGCACCTCACTTATCACCCTCAGTCCCTGCTGGCCCTGCCACTTTAGCTGTTCTCTATTAAGCCAGACATTAAAGAGACTTGTGAACAAGCTAAAATAGAGCCATTCCTCTCACTAAATTTTTGTTGGTAAATATAAATTAAAAATATTTAGATAAATATTTATGTTAACATATGGCAACATGTTAATTTTTTGATTAATTGGGTACTTTGGGGTTTGTTTTTTTTTTCAGTACTGGGGATTGAACCCAGTGCATGCTAGACAAACACTCAACTACTGAACTACATCCCAAATATTAATGACTATAACCTATATAAACAAAAGCCCTTTGAGAGCCTTAGTATTATTTTTAATAGTATAAAAAGGAATCTTGAGTACAAAAAGCTTGAAAACTGCTGACCTAGCCTAGTATTATCCAAAACTTTAGAATTGATGCTGTCAACAAAAGGATTGCTGAACAGTTGCGTACTCCCAGCTGAGATCTGGTAGAACGAGTTTCTAGAGGCTAGTGAGAACAATCAAGAATTTAATGATTTTCATGCAGAAAAGCTTAGCTACCTACTGATAGAAATAGAAAAAGGATAAGGGAAGATTATTGGCAAGGTAGGAGTAGCAGAAAGCCAAGGAAGGGTATGATAAGACTAGGGTCTTAGTGAAGACATTGTGGAAATGACTGACCATTTGTTCTAAAGTGAGTGAAGGGGACTAGAGAATAAAGAAGAGATATGATAGATCTGATAAGTAATGAAACAGGAGGGAGAAGTGACAGAATTATGTTATGTGAATGAAGCAGAGTTCAACAGGAAGGAAATCATGAGGATTCAGAATACATGGAGTCTATGGCCATACCACCCTGAACGTGCCCGATCTGGTCAGAATACATGGAAAGACCAGATTGAAGAATCAACCGCATTGTTAAAGGCTTGTTAGCTCCTCAACCCTTGGCACTAATTCTAGGAGACTTCAGACTTAAGCACACTAGCATTCAAACTTGTTGCTGAATATAAGGCTCACGACACTTTTTATAAGCTTCAGTGTTCTCATCTGTAAAGTGAAGGTGAAGGTAATAATAATTATATTGACTTAGAGTTGGGAGGATTAAATTAAACAGTATGTTAAATTCTTTGTAAACTGGAAAGTATTGTATATGGGTATGTGGTATAAGCACTATGTACATGTGACTTTCATAAGTCTTTCCTTTTTACCTTTCAGGCGGAGCTCAAAAGCTTGATGGACAATGCTTCTTCACCCTTTGAATTTGCTAAAGAGCTCATCAGGCACAATCTGGTGAATTAACAGTTTCTTGTCTTGATTGACTTTAGTCCTACTCTATTTTGGTACATCGCAGCAATTAGAAAGATGAGTAAAAGAAGCCCCAGCAAATGTGTCTCTCTCCAAGGGAATGCTTCCTACTGTGGAAGGAAACAGTAGTTAGTCTCTTGCTTTTGGGAAATCTGTATTGGGAGGGCTGAAGTGTATCTCACATTTGGAAACAAGTGCAAATCCAGTGTAGATCCAAATGTTTGGGTTGTTTTATTGTTTTTCTATTTTATTTCGTTGTTGTTGTTTGCAAAGACAAAGGGACATATCCTTGTGGGTATAACCCACAATAATCTTTGAAGGGTGGCTGAGATCTAAAGAGTTCATTCTAATCCAGGATATGGAGTGGAACAAGAGTGACATACAGATTTATTGTGGTGGAACAGTAAGTTTGCACTGGGGAACAGTGAAAGTAAAGGTGGATGGGTGGTTAAGTTCAGGGCTAGAATATAATGACTATTGCTAAAAAAAGCAAAAACACCTAAGCTCAGGTTGAGTTTGGTTGTACTGATGTGTAATAATGCAACATGGGAGGATGCAGAGAAGCTGCCTTCACTCAGACTCCTGGGAAGTGATCTAGTATTGCTGAGTCTCAACTTCTTCATCTAAAAAGGAGATAATAGTCCTGGTTTCTTTGTTTCTTGGGGAGTACTGATTCTCCCTGTAACCAAACTAAAAAGCACAGCTCTTTTAGGCCCTCTCCCTTTATCTGTAGCACCCACTAAATCCTAGTACTACTTTCTAGGTAATATCTCATTTATTCTATGCCTTCTCTATGTCAGGCCTCTGTTACAGGTACGGTTTTATTTGGATGGATTTTATTATGGGCTCTAATTGTAATCTTCTAATTTCTAATCTAGTTTATAGGTAGAAGCCAAGTTACTTTTTATGGCAAATGATGCTTTAAAAGTAATGTGCTAGAATTTAAGCTTAAAGAGAGATCAGAACTTGAGCATAGGTTTAGGAATGATTGTAAAAGCCTTGACAAATATGGAAGATTTTCAGTTGCTAATCCTAGTAATTAAGCACAGAAAAAAGGATTAAAAACTCAGAAAAATGATTCCAAAAGAGCATCAGTATTCATGGCTGGAGGAAGGAGAATCAGTAGGTGAAACAAGAAAGACTCAACAGACAGGGTACCTAGATAATTTAATGTTCTTTACAACTGCGCATGTTAATCACCTGGGAGGATTGAAACTGATGATGTGCCCCCCGCCACCTTACTGTCCCCAGGGATTCTCCAGGTCTTACCATGTTACCCAGGCTGGCCTAGAACTCCTGGACTGTAGCAGTCCTCCTGCCTCCGTCTCCTAAGGAGATGAGACTATGAGTGCATATCACCCTACCTAGCCCTCCAGGGATTCTTATTTAGTGGTTGAACTGGGTCCCTGGTACAATATTTTCTTAAAACCTCCCAGATGGCTATAATATACAGCTGAAGGTACAGAAACACTATCTGTGTGTATGACTAGAAGGAACATATCCTTGGAATTATCCTTGAAGTATCTTTGGAAAGTGGAATTAGAGAAGTAAGAATAGGGAATTTTCTTTTTTTCCTTTTGAAATGCCATATTTAAGTCTTTTTCCCCAATAAACACATTACTTTTGTAATTCTTTTTTCTTTTATTCATCTGTACATACAATGTTTGGGTCATTTCTCCCCCCTTCCCCCCGCCCCCTCCCTTACCCCCCCTCCCTTACCCCCCCTCCTCCCCTACCCCCTCGCTACTAGGCAGAAACTATTTTGCCCTTATCTCTAATTTTGTTGAAGAGAGAGTATAAGCAATAATAGGAAGGACCAAGGGTTTTTGCTAGTTGAGATAAGGATAGCTACACAGGGAGTTGCCTTGCATTGCTTTCCTGTGCATGTGTGTTAACTTCTAAATTAATTCTTCTTGAACTAACCTTTTCTCTAATTCCTGGTACTTTTGTAATTTTTTAGTGCCTGAAAAATGTTGAAGCAATATGAATAGTTATTTAAAAAAAATCAACATTTAAAGTCAAATTAGGTCAAAATCAAGCTATACCATATATTAGTTTTGTAACTTCATGTAAGTTACCTAACATGGCTGAGTTTCAGTGTTCTCATAGGTAGACTAGGAAAAATCAAAGTACTAGTCTCTTTGACTGGAGGTGTTGCTCAAGTGGTTCAGTGTCTGCCTAAAAATCATGAAGTTCTGAGTTCAAACCCCACTACCACCAAAAAAGAGAAAAGTTTCAGATAGTGTATTTTGGACTAGGGATGTTCAACTTGTAGCAAACATTTAGTACTGTTATTCTTGTTATCTTACAGCCAGCAGTGTCAAAACTGCAGACACACATGGAGCAAGCAGACAGAGAAGTCCTTTGATTTGGTTAAAAGGATTAATTTGTGATTTGTGAGAGTAAGTTTACTAGTGTACTGGGAGCAAAACCCAATTTGGGAGGAGGTGAAGAAGTGAGAGGGTGAGAAGAAATCAGAAGCAGTAAGCCATACTTTGAAGTATAGCACTGAAAGAAAGGAGAAAACTAGGGCACTATCCAGAGGGAACAGTGGGCCTAAGTGGAAGGTTTTCAAAAAAACAAAACCCCTGTGTGTGTTTGAAGTTGAGAAGTAGGACCAGTGCTTCACAAAACAGAAGATATATACAAAGTCCAGATGGAGTTAGAAGTCATGGGACCACAAAGCCAGGTGAAGGAATTAACCTTGGCAAAAGAACGGAATCTTGCAAAGAGGAACCACAAAAGGTGACCAAAATAAGTATTTTGAGGTGGAAAAGAGATTATGTAATTCATATCCGATGACCTGATTTCTGTATATTTGTGAAACAACTTACTGTGTGTCAGATACTGTGCTCAGCTCTGGAAATACAACAATGTGCAAAACCAATTGTACTGCCATGGATTTTTGTTTGTCTGGTTGGCTTTCATTTTTTAGCTTTTCTCTGTAGCATTTATTATCATCTGACAGCATATTTATTTGTATTCTTTTTGAAGGCCTCTCTGCACTTGACTAGCTTATATGGTGGCAGGGGAGTGACTTGTTCCTTCCCCTGCCACCAGGGGAGGTTGTGCTGAATGAATATTTACTGAATCAATTAAATATTACCTGCTATGTAGCACACATTTAGCCCACTTTAACTCATTTAATCATCATAACTAAAGCTAAAACAGCTAGGGGCATGACTCAAGTGGTAGAGCACCCACCTAAAAAGTGTGAGGCCCTGAGTTCAACTCTCAGTACTCCCCCACCCCCCCAAAAAAAGAATTATGCTTTGGCAGGCATGATAGCACACATCTGTAATCCCAGCACTCAGGAGGTAGAGGCAGGAGGATCGTGAGTTTGAGACCATCCTGGGATACATGGCAACAACCTATCTCAAAAACACTGAAGGAAGGAAAAAAGGAAGGAGGGGAAGGAAGGAAGGAAGGAAAAAAGAAAGGAAGGAAGGGTGGGTTCTACCTTATTTTGTTTATTATAATTTAGATAATGGTTTTTGTTCAATGAGGTGAAGGTCATTTGTCTACAGAAAGTGTCAAAAATAAATTCATCCTTTCAAAAAATAACCAAGTGATGACTAGATCAATCACAGTTCTTGGGTCTGGGAGCACATAGTAAGCACAAAGTTCTTTGTCATGTGTCATTTATATTTTGGTAGGTGTAACATAAACAGATGAATGAAGAAAAATGTAATAAAATGTGCTATGAATAAAAATAAAGAAGGGAAGGAGTATAGAGAGTGATGGTAAAGATAGATTTTAGGTAGAGTGCAAATGAAATGTTTAACTATGACAGGGTTTTTTAAGAAGGATCAAAAACAGAGGGGAAGCAAAAGAAGAAAGGGCAAAAAGCATGGGATTGGTTAGGTAATAATAAAATTCAGCCAACCTAGCATTGTTGACTGAGTCCCAGAGCTATTTTAGTGGCTATCATGAACCTGGTTATACATGATACTTCTTAATGTTTCCATGAGCATGTAGATTCTTATTGCCACAATAACACAGTTTCTCTATGCCCAGGTTGTTTTCCGAGGAGGTGAAGGGGCTTTGCAGGTTTTACCTCCCCTAGTTGATGTCATCCCTGAAGCGAGGCTGAACCTAGTCATTTACTACCTTCGTCAAGGTAAGAAAAATTTGTCTTTTTTTTTTTTTGACTTATTCAGCTTTTTATTTTACAGACATATTTGTTTCCTAAATGCATATAATCATGTTGGTAAAGGTACCACACTGTCATAGCATCATTATATATTTAACAATACTATTTTCACCTTTTCTATAATGACAAAGCTGTGGAGATAATACTTCAATTCTTCACTTGAATTATAGTAAAGTGATTGTTCTCTCTATTTCCTTTACACTGTTGACCCAAATGTAGAAAAATTTGTCTTGGTCTTACTGGTAGAGATATTCTAAATATTTAATCTCTGATTGAACTACTTGCATAAGTTTTAAATACATAATACTTCTAAAGATACGTTTGCAAATAAGTTCATAGGACAAAACAAAGTTTTTGGTGCTTGTTATACCTTTTCTGTTTATCTTCTCTTTTCTGATGCTACCTACCTCTGTTTTTCTTTTTCCTATGCTGTCCTTTACTCCCTAGTCATTCTTTGGGTTTCCTTATTTTTCTTCCCATTCCCCTGTAGTTTTTACTCATTTGTCTGTTTTCCACTTATACTATACATCCACATTTTCTTCCTTTTTTTTTTTAATTGTTGACTGTTTTTTACATGCACCTGCCCTTCTCTTTCTTTGTATACTTGGCATCTTGTAAGAAATTCTAGGATTCAAAGAGAATGTGATATTTGTTGCCCCTAAATAAGGTTACAAATGTTAGACATTTGTCTGAAGCAGTTTCTCCAGCAACTTTACAGGGTAGTAGCTACCATGCACTAGTAGTGACATACTGTCATGGATCTCAGATTATAAGTGCTTGTCTTTTTAGGTACTTGATAGAAATCAACCAGACAACACATTCCTCACTGAGGAAAAAGTGTTTATTAAAATGAGAATGTGAAGTTAGAAACAGTACTCTGTTTGTAAGCATAAAGAAATATGCTTTGGGGTAAGAATTAAACAAAGTGTATATTTTTTAAGTTATTAAGAAAAATTTCAAACATAAACCAAAGCAGACAGTATAATAAACAACCAATAACCACCCTAGATTCAATGATTTTTCAAGATATTATCAATCATTTTTATCCATCACTGCTTTTTTCCCCTAAAAATTTTAAAGCAAGCCAGGTGCCATAGGCTCACACCTATAATCCTAGCTACTTGGGAGGCTGAGATCAGGAGGATCACAGTTTGAGGTCAGCCTAGGCAAATAGTTCATGAGACCCTCATCTCCAAAATAACCAGAGCATATTCCAAGATGGTGGCTAGAGGGAGGAAGCAGAAAGCGTGTTTTCTAAAGTAAAATCTTGGAGAGATGCTGGAGATACACCTTACAGGAAAAACCACTGAGAAGAGGCAAAACTTTGACTCCTCCACACCTCCAGCCTGTGCATAGCATCTCCATTTCACGTTAAATGGAGAAACCAGGAGGGCTCCCACACCGCCGCCAGATGGCAGCGCCCATATGGCTTGGGAAGACTCAGACCACAAGCTTAATGTTGATTAGTACACTATCTCTCCCTGTTTATATCTTTGAAACTTTTGTTTGTTTGTTTGTTTGGTTTTTTTTTTCTACTTGTTTGTTTGTTTTTCCTTTTTTTTTTTAACTTCTTTGCTTTCCATTTCCTCTCACCCTTCCATTCTAAATATCACCATTGTTATTATTACAAGCTAGAAAATACTTAATTGCACACAGTACAGGGACAATAACAACACTAAGGGCAATGACAGGAAGACAGAAAAAACAGGGAAACCAGTTTCCCCACAGCAAAAAATTGGTACAGGAACCAGAGGGAAATGAAGAAAACAGATACTTAGATCCAGACTCCAACAAAATGAAGATAAACTATGCCAAAGAACCCAATGAAGCCCACAAGAACCACCTGAAGGAAGAAATCCTGCAACTAATCAATGAGAATTTTATAGAGATGATACTGGATATGGTCAATCAAAATGTACAGGAGACACTCAAGAAATTCCAAAAGAACAAAAATAGAGAATTTGAGAAAGCACAAGAAGAAATAAAAGAAACCATAGAAGCACTGTATAAACACCAAAGTGAAACAAAGAACACGATTAATAAAGAGATAAATGAACTCAGGATAAAAATAGACAACATTAAAGAGGAAGGACTCAGGATATGGAAAACCTCAGAAAAAAGAACAAAACAGAATTGCAAAACAAAATGGAAGGTCAATCCAGCAGAATAGAACAAACAGAAGACAGCATCTCAGAACTCAAAGATGAAATGGTAATTAAAGGAAAAACAGAAGAACTATTAGTTAAACAACCCAAGACCTGTGAAAAGAAAATGCAAGATCTCAACATCTCCATCAAAAGACCAAACCTGAGAATCATGGGCATTGAAGAAGGAGAAGAGGTGCAAGCAAAGGGAATGCGTAATATATTCAACAAAATAATAACAGAAAATTTCCCAAATCTAGAGAAATCTACCCCATACAGATGCAAGAGGCCTCCAGAACACCAAACAGACTAGACCAAAATAGATCTACCCCACGGCATATCATCATTAAAACAACAAATACAGAGACCCAAGAAAGAATATTGAAGGCTGTAAGAGAGAAAAAACAAATAACATACAAAGGTAAACTCATCAAAATCACAGCAGACTTCTCAACAGAAACATTAAAAGCAAGAAGAGCTTGGGGTGAGATCTTCCGGGCACTGAATGAAACTGACTTCAACCCCAGGATACTCTACCCAGCAAAACTACCATTCCAAATAGATGGAACAATAAAAATCTTCCATGATAAGCAGAAACTAAAACAAGATGTGACCACAAAGCCACCACTACAAAAGATTCTTCAAGGGATTCTGCACACAGAAAGTGAACCCCAACATAACCATGAAAGGGCAGGCAGCACCAAACTACAGGAAAAGAAAAAGCAAGAAAGTAGAGAGTAACCTCAACTTAGGTACACACAATCAACCCTTCAAACAACTAAGACAACTAAATGACAGGAATCACCACAAACCTATCAGTACTAACACTTAATTGTTAACGGACTTAATTCACCCATCAAAAGGCACTGTTTGATGAACTGGATTAAAAAGGAAGATCCAACAATTTGTTGCTTACAGGAGACCCATCTCACTGACAAAAATAAGCATAGGCTCAGGATGAAAGGCTGGAAGAAGGTTTACCAAGCCAATGGCCCCGGAAACAGGCAGGAGTAGCAATACTTATCATTAGCATTTCTATACACTAATAATGAACAAACTGAGAAAGAATATATGAAAACAATTCCATTTACAATAGCCTCAAAAAAAATCAAATACCTAGGTGTAAACCTAAAAAGGATGTGAACGACCTCTACAAGTAAAACTATAAACTCCTGAAGAAAGAAGAATTGAGGAAGACTGTAGAAAGTGGGAGATCTCCCATGCTGCGATTGGATGGTAGAATCCACATAGTAAAAATGTCTGTACTCCCAAAAGGAATCTACATGTTTAATGCAATTCTCATCAAAAATTCCCAATGACATTCCATATAAAGAGATTGAAAAATCTAACTGTTAAATTTATAATGGAAACACAAGAGGCCACGAAATAAGCCAAGGCAAATACTCAGTCAAAAGAACAATGCCAGGAGGTATCAAATACCTGAACTTCAAACTATAATTACAAAGCAATACAAAAACAGCATGGTACTGGCACAAAAACAGACATGAAGACCAGTGAAAGTATTAGAGGACCCGGATATGAAGCCACACAACTAAACCAACTTGTTTTGACAAAGGCACTAAAATATTGATGGATAAAAGACAGTCTCTTCAACAAAAACTGCTGGGAAAACTGGCTAGCAGTCTGCAAAAATGAAACTAGATCCATGTATATCACCCTTTATACCAATTTAACTCAAAAGTGGATCAGGCTCTTAATATCAGACCCCAACTCTAAATTGGTACAGGAAAGAGTAGGAAATACTTTGGAACTAATAGGTTAGGCAAGAACTTCTCAATGGAACCCTCCCAGAGCACACAGAACTAAGGAGATAGCATAGATAAATGGGACTTCATAAAACCAAAAAGCTTTCTGCTCAACAAACAGAAATGGTCTCTAAACTGAGGATACACCCACAGAGTGGAGAAAATACTTGGCAGCTACACTTCAGACAAAGGAACTGGATAACCAGAATATATAGGGAACTTAAACTAAATTATCCCTAAAATTAATGAACCAATAAAGAAATGAGCAAGTGAACTAAAGAGAACTTTCTCAAAAGAAGAAATTTAAATGGCCAAAAAAAAAAACCATGAAAAAATGCTCACATCCCTAGCAATAAAGGAAATGCAAATTATAAACCACACTAAGATTCCACCTCCCCCTGTTAGAATAGCCATCATCAGCCCACCACCACACAGGTGTTTGGCGAGGATGTGAGGAAAAAAAGGGAACCCCTTCTTACACCTGCTGGTGGGAATGTACTAGACAAAACCAACTTCGGGAAAAAAACTTGGAGAACTTAAAAAGCTAAACATTGATCTACCATATGATCCAGCAATACCACTCTTGGGGATATACCCAAAAGAATGTGACACAGGTTATTCCAGAGGCACCTGCACACCCATGTTTATTGCAGCACTATTCACAATAACCAAGTTATGGAAACAGCCAAGATGCCCCACTACTGATGTTTGGATTAAGAAAATGTGGTATTTATACACAATGGAATTTTATGCAGCCATGAAGAAGAATGGAATGTTATCATTTGCTGGATGGAATTGGAGAACATCATTCTGAGAAGCCTGGCCCCAAAAGACCAGAAATTGTATGTTCTCCCTCATATGGAGACATTACATCAAGGGCAAACACAACAAGGGGATTGAACTTTGATCACATGATAAAGCGAGAGCACACAAGGGAGGGGTGAGGGATAAGTAAGTAAAAGACACCTAAAAAATCAGCTAGCATTTGTTGCCCTTTAACACAGAGAAATACAAAGCAGATACCTTAAAAGCAACTGAGGCCAATAGGAAAAGGGCCAGGAACTAGAAGAAAAGGTTATATCAAAAAGAATTAACCTAGAAGGTAACACCCACCACAGGAAATCAATGTGAGTCAATGCCCTGTATAGCTATCCTTACCTCAACTAGCAAAAACCCTTGGTCCTTCCTATTATTGCTTATACTCTCTCTACAGCAAAATTAGAGATAAGGGCAAAATAGTTTCTGCCAGGTAATTAGGGAATGAGGGGGAGAGGGAATGAGTGGGGGGTTTAGGAAGGGGGTGGGGGAAAGGGGGAGAAATGACCCAAACATTGTATGCACATATGAATAAATAAATAAATAAAAGCAAAAAAAAAAAAACAAAACCAAAATAATCAGAGCAAAAAAGATTGGAGGTATGGCTCAAGTGGTAGAGTGCCTGCTTTGCAAGCATGAAGCCCTGAGTTCAAACAGCAGTCCCATCCCTTGAAACCTCCCCCAAAAATTAAAGCAAATCTCAGACTTTATGTCATTTTATTCCTATATATTTAATATATCTCTTTCTCCTAAATGGCCTTTTTTTATATATACTATAATATCACATATGTGCATATATATACCCATATATTCAAAGAACATTTGATCTGTTTGCCCTCTAATTCTCCATCAAGTTCAGTGTTTTGTAGTTTTCCTAAAGATAACTAAGTGCTTATAGATATCATAATTGAGCCAGAAACACCTCACCATACATTATTAAAATAACATAGACATTTACTTAGCATATTACTGTTGTATCCTATATAATATAGATGTATCTATACACATATGTATAGATGTATAGATATATGTATATATAGATATGTATATACACATATATACTGCACTAGGAATCAACCCCAGGGCCCTGAGCAAGCTAGACAACACTCTCCCACTGAGTTGCACTTCAACCCTGTTTTTTGTTAATATTTGGATACTGAAGGATATTATCTTTCTTGGGATTACTTCAGAGGGATATGCTGGAATACAAACTAGTAACCCTCCTTATTTTTTATATTTCAGATGATGTACAAGAAGCTTACAACTTAATTAAAGATCTGGAGCCTTCAACTCCTCAGGTAGTTGGAAAGCTTTCACATTTTTACTAAACAAGTACTGTGGAACATGGACCCAGAGATGGAGCTGAAAGGCATAATAGAGAAGATTCCTGCTTGTAGAACCCAGGAAAGATCTTAGATTGATCTAGGGATGCTTTGTGAGGCTGGTCTTTTCTTCTATTAAGTAATAACTCCTTGTAGTCAGGGACCATATTATTTATATGTATCTTCAACACTGAGTACGTTGTATGCATTTCTTTTATGAATGGAAAATCCTTCCAGACCCCATAGAGTCTAAACAAGTATATCTCTCAGTGTATTAAAAGCTTTAGCATTTCTTTTGGTATTCTGTTTAATGATTCCCTTTAAATATAAATTAATAAAACAGTTAAGGAAGTTGTCCATTAAAGAATTGAACCACACTGGGTGCCAGTGGCTCACGCCTATAAACCTAGCTACTGATCAAGAGGATCGCAGTTTGAAGCCATCCTGGGCAAATAGCCCACCACAGAAAAGGGATGGTGGAGTGGCCAAGATGTAGGACCTGAGTTCAAATCCCAGTGCTACCAAAAAAAAAAAAATTGAAGCAAGTCTGAAAAACAGGACAAAAAGGAGGCCCCAGGACTCCAAAAGAGAGACTATCTTGTAAGTGGGAATCAGAGGACATTTTTTTTTTTTTTGAGGAAAAGGATTACTAGCCAAGGAAGATTATTATAACATTAGAAAGGGAGACTTTTACTGTTTTTTTTCCCTTGAATTGAAGTAAAATAAAATTTATTTTCTTGAGCTTCCACTGAGTTATTTCTTCTTAATATTGACAATTTACAAATACGATGAATTCTGCTAGAGGATACTTGCCTGCTGGAAATTAAAGTCTCCTAATTCTTCCATTCAAGCCAGGGATAGAACAGAAAAGAGTATCTCAATATATGAAGTATTGATTTGATGCAAGGAATGAATAAGAAACATATTGCATAGCTCTGCATTCCTCTTTAATTAATCAGTATCATTCCATATTTCCAGGAGTACATCCTCAAAGGAGTGGTGAATGCAGCACTTGGTCAGGAAATGGGTTCAGTGAGTATGAAATCCCTGCTAATCCATACTTTGCAAAGTTGTAGACAAGTGGAAAAGACCCAAATGGGTATTAAAGTGAACCCAGAAACAAGCTTACACATAAACAGATTCTTCTGCGGTTCCCGTCACCTCTCCAAATCCCTGTCTAGACTCCATTTAAAACAATACTGTGGGGAGAGGTGGCCCAAACAGTGTGTACACGTGTAAGTAAATGTAAAAATGATAAAACAAAATTTTAAAAATACACAAAAAAGAAGCCAGACAATAAAAGAGTACATACTGTATAAAAAAACCCATGATTTAAAGACAAAAATAAGTTTTAGCTTTAAAAGTTACTGTTTAAAAAATTTTAATATAGTGCTTGCTTACATTTAATAACAAAAAAGATCATTGCACAAATTTATTTTCATTTGCAGTGACCTTTTCTTAAATGTTATACATCTCTGACTTGTAATCTGGCGTCTATAAAAAGGAAGAAAATTTGAAAATTTTTTTTCTCTAAGAAATCTTTTTTTAAGTTGCTGGGGCTAACTCAGGGCCTCACATGCACTCTACTACTGAGCTATCTCTGCTAGCAAAGCTTTTTATAAACATCAAAATGCTGTCTAAGCCAGGAGCCAAGGGGCTTAAACCTGTAATGCTACTTGGGAAGCTGAGATCAGGAGGATCAAGGTTTGAGGCCAGCCTGGGCAAATAGTTTGTAAGAGCCCACCTACAAAATAGCCACAGCAAAATGAACTGGGGGTCTGGCTCAAGAGGTAGAGCTGCTGTTTTGCAAGTGTGAAGCCCTGAGTTCAAAATCCAGTGCCCCCACCCCCAAATTTAAAAAAGCCAGGCACCTGTGGCTCATGCCTGTAATCCTAGCTACTCAGGAGGCAGAGATCAGGAGGATTGCAGTTTGAAGCCAGCCTGACCAATAGTTCGAGAGACCCAATCTCGAAAAAGACCCTTCACAAAAAGGACTGGTGGAGTGGCTCAAGGTGTAGGCCCTGAGTTCAAACTCCAGTACTGCAAAAAAAAAGATAATAATAATGTTGTTTTGGGCATGATTTAAAAAACAAGGGTATATATTACATTACAGAATGACAAATACAGGAGAACCATAAAGTGTGATATGAATAAAATGGTTTCACCTGACTCCTCTCTAACAATTCTGTTTTGCTTTTCAGAGGGATCATATGAAGATTGCCCAGCAGTTTTTCCAGTTGGTGGGAGGATCAGCCAGTGAATGTGGTATGTCTGAAATCTGTGCCTGTAAGCCTCACTCGTAATTGGGGCTGGACAATACGGACTGCTGGAGTTTGATTCTCTGTCTGGGACACATTAGGCTTTACATTATGAGGTGGGGAGTCAGAAGTGGAGAACTTTGAATTAGTTCTCCTGAACATGTCAGCTAAAGTGGGATGAGAAGATAAATAAAGGAGAATACATTTACTCTTTAGTTCCTGAGAAGTTTTTAAAATTGAACCAGCTTTAGATATGAAATGTTAACTTTTATTGAGTTTTCAATAGCTCCTTATATTTTAGTCTTTGTCACATTTCAGGTGTTTTTTAAGTAGGTCATTTGCCTTTAAATTTTCCCTGTATTATCTTCTTCTTCTTACTATTATTATTTTCTTTTTTTGGTGGGATTTGGTTTTGAACGCAGGGCTTCGTGCTTGCAAAGCAGGCTCTCTCCTGCTTGAGCCACACCTCCAGTCCATTTTGCTCTGGTTATATTGGAGATGGGGTCTTGTGAACTGTTTTCCTGGAGTGACTTTGAACTGTGATCCTCCGAATCTCAGCCTCCCAAGTAGCTAGGATTGTAGGCATGAGCCACCAGCGGCCAGATATTTTTTTTGTATATTAAAAGATTCAAAGCAAGGCATAGTAGTGTGTGCCTATAATCCCAGCACTTGGGAGGCTGAGACAGGAGGATTGTGAGTTTAAGAACAGTTTAGGTTGTTAGTGAAACCCTGTCTCAAAAATATAAATAAATAAAAAAGATTGAGTGTCAGATTTGAGAGGACTGCAAAAAGGCCTGATGGCCAGGGTAGTCCAATATGGCTGCCTGTGCCAGTTGTCTGTAAATGTCATCTAGTCTGATTAATAGTGTTTATGCTGAACTGATTGTTAAATGTTTTTTTGTAATGCCTGGATATTCACAAAATTAAATCAACTCCATTTATATGAATAATATTTTATTTTCCCGTTTCATTCATTCATTCATTCATTCATTCAGACAACATAAATTTATTGAGGTGATGAGATGTAGCAGTAAACAAAGAAAACTCCCTACATTTGTGGAGCTTGTAGTCCAGAGGGACACAGACGGATGGGTAACATAATACATAAGTAGATTATATAGTACATCAGACTGTGATAAATAGTATGGGGAAAATTGAACAGAGTAATCTTGGGAACACCTGGGACAGAGGTTGGGGTCATGCTAGCCTCTTTACCTCAACAAGAATCTGCTATCAGACAAAAAGTTGAGTCAGGATCAGCATCAGCTGGTTCAGTGCCAATTATTTCTCCATCCACAACTGGAGGTGTCAGCCTGGCTTAGACATGTGAAAATGGAGACCAAAAAGCCACATTCATTGCATGGATAGATGTTGGAGTTGGATGAAAGAAATAAAGCCCTAAGAAAATGGCTAGCAGACTATGGTAGCCAGTGCCCATATCTGCAAGGCATGTGTCCTCTTTAGACTCTGGGAGTTAACCCTCCATTATGCTGGGGTTCATTCCACTCTACAGAACCCATAATTCAGAATCTAGGGATAACATAACTCAAATTTCAACTAAAGACAAGTACTAGATTCATGAATTTCTATGGTGTCTTTTCTGCCTCCATTTCAGATACAATACCAGGGAGGCAATGCATGGCTTCATGTTTCTTTCTGCTTAAGCAATTTGATGATGTCTTGATTTACCTCAACTCATTTAAGGTCAGTAGAGCATTAAGTATGTGACTTTTTGTATGAAATAGTGTAAACGATGTGTCACAAGTTAAGATACTCTTAGAGCCCTTTTTCTCTGGTGCCATTAGTGACGTCAAGGAATTAGTCTAATTGCTTAAGATTTTTTTATGTTTCTCTAATATAACTGATGGTTTTATATTTACATGTTAATACATAACATGACCTCTTCTTGGATTGTTCAGAGTTACTTCTACAATGATGATGTGTTTAACTTTAATTACGCCCAAGCCAAAGCTGCAACAGGCAATACCAGCGAAGGGGAAGAGGTGAGTACCTATTTTTTCTTGTTATTGTTTTTTTTAATGATGACATTTAGTAATGCTTTTGAAGGCATTTGAAGGATTCTGTCTAAAAGTATCCTTACCTTTTCTTACTAAAATAAAATGGTTAAGCCAGGTGTGGTGGTACATCCTGCAATCCCATCTACAAGGGAGGTGGAGATGGGTTGCTTGTGGTTTAAGGCCATCCTGGGAAAAAAGCATTAGTCCCTATCTAAAAAATAAACTAAGGCAAAAGGGGCTAGAAGTGTGGCTTAGTGGTAGAGTGCTTGGCCAGCAACACAAGGCAACCCCTAATACCACCAAAAAATTTAAGAAGTAAAAATAAATAAAATGGTCAAAGGTAAGTGACCATTGAAGATTCCTTTGTTTTTAGGTTATATTAAAAGCTGTAATTGTTGTAAATAGACATAGATTTTATAACAGTAATGTGTTCTGTTTTTTGATAAGTTTTATAGAAGTATAACATATGTGCAAAGAAATATACAAATGATAAGCATACCACTTGGATTTTCACAAGATCAACCATCCCATCTGGTACACAGGTCATGAAACAATATTATCATAACCCAAGAACCCCTTGTCTTCTTTTAAATTAATCCCTTCCCTCAGGGCTAACTACTATCCTGACCTCAAACTCCATAGAAGGATTTGTGTGAATTCTTCAGTTCTGTTACTAATCTGGAAGGTAACAGTGATCATCAGCCTAAGGCAAACTGATACTGTATATTTTTATTGCAAAGCCAACCTCATGTTTATTCCCTTTCTTTCCTGTTGTTGCAGGTGTTCCTTTTGATTCAAAGTGAGAAGATGAAAAATGATTACATTTACCTCAGTTGGCTAGCTCGGTGCTGTGAGTCTTCTTTTAAATGTTACAACACAAATCCTCTTTTTCTTTTGTCACATAATCTGTTTGGAAATTACGTTTTTTCTAAGCTAGCCAGGCGCTGGTGGTTCACACTTATAAACTACTTGGGAAGCTGAGATCAGGAGGATTGTGCTTTGAGGCCAGCCAGGGCAAGTGGTTTGAAAGACCTCATCTCGCAAAATAACCAGAGCAAAATGGCCTGGAGGTGTGCTTCAAGCAGTAAAGAGCCTGCTTTGTGAGCGCTCACTTAGCAAGTATGAAGCCCTGAGTTCAAACTCTAGTCCCTCCTCCCGCAAAAAAAAGTGTTTCCTAATCTTACTTTGGATTTTGTTGTGTAGAATGAGTAAATGCTGAAACTAAGGGTTGTAAGTGTAAGAGGTGCTATGTGACTGTGCTATGTCACTTTAACCTATGATTAGTTCCACCATCCCACATTGACCTACCACTTATATTCTTCAAAGATTTCAAAGTCTTCTTTTAGCTCTGTTAGTTTCCAGGCTCTCCGTGTACAATGTTGTTTCTAAAACGTGATTTTAACTTTTCATTTTTTAGTCCTGAACAGTGGTGAAATATCAAAACATAATTTTGTTGTATATTACATAGCCTATAATCAATCTCTCTCAGTTTCACTTATGTTTTCTTTTTCATTTTTTTCCACTGAGATTTAAAGTATTCATTGAGTTTTTATAGTTATAGGAAAATCTTAGCAAGTAGCTAGTCTAAGTGAGGCTAAAACTATGAGTAGGATGAGTAAGTGATAGGTCTCCACTGCAAAGTAGCAAAGCAGGAGCTGCTAGAAATCAGCCCGATCTAAAAGACATAATCAAGTGAATCGTCAATATTTTAAATATGGTAGAATTTTGATAGGAAGCCATCTTAATGCCAACACTGCATGCTTCCTATGTAGGAGGTATTCTACTAGTGCTTGTATATTTGGTTGTAGCTCCAAATTCATTGAATAACAAGATGCTGAAGTTATTTCTTACACATTTAAAAAGCCTCAGCTGGGTATGGTCGTGGAAACCCTGTAATCCCAGCCCTTGGGAGGTTAAGGCAGGAGGATCTTGAGTTCCAGGCCAGCTGAAAAAAATAGTGAGACATTGCCTCAAAAAACAAACAAACAAAAAAGGCTAGGCACCTCTGGTTCACGCCTGTAATCCTAGCTTCTTGGGAGGTTGAGATCAGGAGGATCACAGATCCAGGCCAGCCCAGGCAAGTAATTCTTGAGACCCTAAGCTCAAAACAACCAGAGCAAACTGGACTGGAGGTATGGTTCAAGTAGTAGAGTGCCTTCTTTGTAAGCATGAAGCCCTGCATTTAAACCCCAGTCCACCAAAAGAAAAAATAAAATTAAAGCAATAAGAAGTTTAAATCTTTGTTTCCTTTTGTAGATATTATGAATAAGAAACCAAGACTAGCATGGGAACTTTATCTCAAGATGGAAACCTCTGGCGAGTCCTTTAGTCTCTTACAGCTCATTGCTAATGACTGTTACAAGGTAAGTTTGAGTGACAGCAAAGGGAACAAGGAAGATAACATTACACTGCTGTGATGGCTAAGTATTAGGAAAAAGTGTCCTAAAATGTCATCATTTTTATGGATTAACTAAACTCAGAAAAGGCAGATTTAGAATTGTACCTATATGTGAAATACGATGTAGAGAGGAAGTTTTAGATTTCTGAAGGCTATGAATTCTTAGGTACTATCTAAGTAGAGAGATCATCTGGTGGTTAGAACTCAAGAAATACGTCTCTTGACATCTGGAAACATAGATTAAGAATCATCATTAGCTTTTCAGTAGTAATTAAAGCCCTCAAAGCAAGGTTTAAAGTACGAAGAGTTGCACACCAAACCATAAGAAATACTAAGTTCTAAATGGCAGACAGAAAAAACAAAGGAACCACAAAAAAAAAGACTAAAGCAGTTGTATCTAGTATTACTTTAATCAACATCTGCTCATTTCAAAGTGAATCATTACCAAAAAAAAGAAGTGAGTCACCAAAAATGGAAAGGGTTTCAAGACTATGGAAGATTGAAAATAATAGTTTAACATGATTTGGTGGATGGTAATGATGTTAAGTTATTAGGGGAGACAGAGGGAAAGAAAACATTAAAAGCCAGGAAATGACTTCAATTTTAGATGTATTAAAATCTGAAGTGTCTTTGGGGTTCCCCATAGAGATAATCCAATGGGAAATTATCAGGGAGAGACCGAATCTTAGGTATTCACGTGAGAGATCAGTATTAGAGATATAGTTTTTGAAGTTAATAGCCAGAAGCTGGGCACGATGCCACACAGCTATAATCCCAATACTCTGGAGACAGAAATAGGCCAGCCAGGGCTGCATAGTGAGACCATGTCTCAAAAAAAAAAAAAGCCCAGCAATGAGGGTGGTAATAGTATTGCCAGGAGTAGTAGCAGAGAGTGAGAGAGAGTTAAGAGTAACCAAGAAACAGAAAAAGGGACCAATTGGATCACCAGCATTTAAGGGACAGAAATAGAAGAATAAGTGACAGACAGAGATGAACATAGAAGAAAGAAAAGAACCAGGAATACCTGTAGCCTCAACACTTAGGAGGCTGAAGCAGGATGGTCACTTGAGCCAGAAAGTTTGAGACCATTATGTGCAACATAGTAAGACACCAACTCAAGAAAAAAAAAAAAAAAACAATAGGGGCTGGAGGAGTGGCTCAAGTGGTAGAGCACCTGCCTAGCAAGCGTGAGGCCCTGAGTTCAAGCCTCAATATTGGAAAAAGAAGAAATAAAGAAAAGGAAAACATTAATAATAGTTCATAAGCAATTAGAAAACTGTTTCTCTTTCCTTTTTGTCTTGTTCCTATTTTTATCAAAAGCCAAGGAAGGAGAATTCCAGAGCTATGCTAAACAGAAGTACATGAGTATAGCAGTTAGCAATAGAAGACAGTCACGTTAGAAAGCAGAGGCAGGGATTGTAGACCATAGCCTTAAGAAATTGGTACTAAGGATAAGGAGGAAAATGTGGTACTAACTCAAAAGGGAAAACAGGGCTTGGGATTTTTTAAAGTGTGGTGGAGAATTCTTTTTCTTTTAGAAGGATGGCTGGAAGTGTATCCATAGGCTGAAGAAAAGGAGGCATTGAATAGGGAGACTAAGACCAAGAGTGGTGCGGATGTAGTGGTAGAGCACTTGCCCAATATAGGCAAGGTCCCTAATCAAGTGCTCTCGTGCGCTCTCTCTCTCTCTCTCTCTCTCTCTCTCTCTCTCTCTCTCTCTCTCTCCCTCTCTCTCTCTCTCTCTCACACACACACACACACACACACACACAGATTAGAGAGAGTGGGGGCATTTTTTTTTTTTTTAGTGGCACTGGGGTTTGAACTCTGGGCTTCCCACTTGCAAGGCAGGTACTCTACTGCTTTAGCCATACCTCCAGTCCATTTTGCTGTGATTATTTTTGGAGATTGGATCTAGTGAACTATTTGTCTGGGCTGGCCTGGAACTGTAGTCCTCCTCATCTCAGCCTCCCAAGTAGCAGCAAGGATTACAAGTGGGAGCCACCAGTGCCTGACAGTGTGGGCATTTTCAGTGGAATAAGGTCCTAAAGGAGATGAGGGGAAGGGATAAGCTGAAGGGAACATAACTACTTTGAAAATAATTTGGTACTATCTAGTGTCTCAGTGGTCCCACAACCACTAATCTGGTGACTTACTAGAAGGACTCACACAAACATACACTTACCATATGACCCAGCAATTGCACCCCTGTACATTTACCCTAGAGAAATGGATACTCACATGTTAATAGCCACTTTATTTGTAATTGCATACATTGGAAAGCGTCAGAGTCTTCTAATACGTGAATGGTTAAGCAAACTGTAATGAGAACTCTGACACCATTTCTTGGTGTTTGGCTCCTGACAATTTTTTTTTTTGGGGGGATACTGAGGTTTGAACTCAGGGCCTACACCTTGAGCCACTCTACCAGTCCTTTTTTGTGATGAGTTTTTTCAAGATAGGGTCTCTCGAACTGTTAGTCCAGTCTGGCTTGAAACTGCAATCCTCCTACATCTGCCTCCTGATTAGCTAGGATTACAGGCATGAGCCACTGGCGTGCAACTGCTGACAAACCTTAAAAGCTTCACCTCTCCCCTTGTGTCCCACATCTGGACAAAATGATAAGAAAGCCTGGGCGCTGCCTTCTTTGGTTCCATTGGGTGGTTCAAACCATAAAGCCTTGCCCTACCTTAGGACCGCTCACTCTGACCTCACCCCTAACAACAGTAAACACAAAGGCCAGGGCTTTTTCTCTGCTTTCTTAGGCCACTTCAGACCTATTTGAGGACCCTGCTTTGTTCAATCTAAGACCTCAATTAGGTAGGCAAGACACTTTCTCATACCCCTTGAAATGTGTGTGACATCAATAATCTCAAAATCCAAGCCAAATTCGTGTGAGGAGGTCCCTTCTGCTTTGCAGGATGACCGTAACAAAAGCAGCTTATTCATATAAACATTGACTTGGATTAACAAGGACTATCAAGGATATTATGCTGAGTGAAAAAAGCCAATTTCAGAGGGCTCCATCTGTTTGATTTCATGCCTGTAACATTCTTAAATGACAATAATATGTAGATGGAGAACAAATTAGGGATCAGGGATGGTGAGCATGGGAGGGCATGCACGTGACTAAAGTGGTGAAAGGGAAATCTTTGAGGTGATGGGACAGCTTTGTATCTCGATAGTGGAGGTGCTTACATGAATCTACACCTGTGATGAAGTGATAGGATTGTCATCAACACACCACCAAAGTCTTATTTCCTGATTTTGATATTGTGATATTGTACAATATCTATTGGGGGAAACTTGGTGAGAGGTACATGGGATAACTTCCTATGGACCTATAGTTATTTCAACATAGAAGGTTTTTTTAATGAACCAATTAGTGCTATATATAGTAATATAAATGAACCTCAAAAATAACTAAAGGAAAAAGGAATTGAGCTTGATGCAAGTGGTAATGCACTTGTCTAGCAAGAGCAAGGTCCTGAGTTCAAACCCCAGTACAAAAAAAAAAGTTGCAATTAGTTACTTCTAGGTGGGGAAAGAAGGGGTGGGGTTAGAGTCTGGAAGTGACATACAGAGAGCTTTTGTTTTGCTTCAGTGTCAAGGACCTGGGTGATGGATAGACTTGTATTTACATTATAATTAGTAAGCTGCACATGTGTGTTTCATGCACCGTTCTATATGTGTATTATTTTGATATATACATATATGTAATTTCCAGTATGGGAGTTTGAACTCAGGGCCTCAAGCTTACTAGGCAGACACTGTACCACTTGAGCCACATCCCCAGTCTTCCATTTTTTTCATTGCAATAAAAAAATGTAAGAAAGCATAAATAGATGGATTAACCTTGAAAAAATAAGAAGACCTTTTCTTGTAATATAGGCAGAAAGTGTAAGTATTATTTGAACTGAATGGAAAAAAGTTGTTTTTTCCTCCATGAAGTGAATAAAGTTAAGCTAAGAATGTAGAGGTCTTAAGGAAATTGCCAGAAATTTAGAAAAACAGTTACTAGGAATGAAGAAGGTTGCCCCGCCATTTAGAGCTTTAAGGAAAACTGGTAACAGTATGCTTTTACTATAGACAATCTAAAAAACTCTTCTAAGCAAAATTTAATGGCCTTCAGCCTGGTGCCAGTGACTCACACCTGTAATCCTAGCTACTTGGGAGGCTGAGATCGGGAGGATCGTGGTTCTAAACCAGCCCAGGCAAACAGTTCCCCATCTCCAAAATAACCAGAGCAAAATGTACTGAAGGTGTGGATCAAGCTGTAAAAACGAAGCCCTGAGTTCAAACCCCTGTCTTCCCAAAAAGAAAGAGAGAGAAAGCAAGTAAACAAGCAAGCAAGCAAGAAAGAAAATTTAATGGCCTTTAGCATGTTCTATGAAGCCAGGCAAATGAGTAGCTTATTTGGGGAAGACGCCTGTGAAACTGAACGAACTATTTAGGAAGTTTAGTATTCAGAGTGTAGTCAGCCTAGACGTTCTGAAAATTTAGGAACATAATCGGGGATAGACCACTCTTGAGTGATCAGATTAACATAAAATGAATGAGAGTAGACATCTAAAAAGAATGTATTGAGGAGACTTGAAAAATACCCAGTTCAGCTCATCATCATCAGAGTTTATCCTCAAGATTAGAATGTAATTAGAAGTGACAACTGTGTTGATGACAGAATAACTTAATTCTATGTAGAAAAATGTTCTGTGATTGAAAACTGAATGGAACGAAGCTGGCTTACACTGAACTGATGAACTCAAACTGATGTTCTTCTTGTTTGGTTAGGGCGTGACATTTACCTAAGTTGCTAACTGGAAATGTTACCCACAGACTTGTTTCACACAGTTCTGCTTCATGTTACCTGTATGTTTAATTTCATTCTGTCCAATCTTTTGACTACAAGTATTACCACAGCACTTTGTTTTATTCAGATGGGCCAGTTTTACTATTCAGCCAAAGCTTTTGATGTCCTAGAGAGGCTGGATCCCAACCCTGAATATTGGGAAGGCAAAAGGGGTGCCTGCGTGGGCATTTTCCAAATGATCTTAGCTGGGAGAGAACCCAAGTAAGTAAGCAGACAGAAGATACTATCTCTATTTATTTCCTGGCGTGTGGGAAAGTAACTGTCTTCTTGGATGCTATCTTCTGAAAACTAAAAACTAGATGCTTTAGAATGATCAAAAAAAAAGAGATGTTAAAATTTTAAATAATCATTTTCTACAGAAATGTCCTATTTTATAGAATAAAATCATTTTAAATAATAGTTACTGAGGATATCAAGTATACTACAGCTCTCAAATATTAGGGCAAAATGTATATTTGGTTCCAAATGAAGAGCCATTTTCATAAACAAAATGTTTTTCACTCTTTGACTCTTTTCTTTGCCTGTTGCGGGTATGTCTGTGTGTGTCTTTTTTTAGTTTATGTCTCAAAGAATTAGTAATAGAGTGGATATAGTTAATAATTCTGATTTTTTTCTTCTGCCTTCTTATGTTCTAGGAAGTGCTGAGACATTAAGTTACATGTAATTAAATGGTTTATAGTTCCATTTAAAATACTTAAAAAGTAAATTAAAAAAACAAGTAAACTCAGATTCAAAAAGTGATTTTATATAATGTGTTTGTTACTGATATAAATGAATAGGAAATATAATTTTGTAAGCAAATAATTTATCAAAAATTACTTCCTGCCTTGTATCTACTTCCATCCTAAAGAAAAGTTTAAAAGCATTTGGTCAGGTGAAGGAAGTTTCTTGTGGGGAAAAAGGAGCAGAATATGAGATGACAGAGGAGAGTGGCTCTGTAGACAGTCACCTATAGATTTGATGAGACAATAAGTAAGTTTTAGTGCACATTACTTAAAATTTCACGCTTGCTAGGCAGGTGGGCTACCACTTGAGTCCCTCTGCCTGCCTTTTTTGTGTTGGTTATTTTTATTTAATTTATTTTCTTTGGCAGGACTGGTGTTTGAATGCAGGGCTTCACACCTGCTAGCCAGGTGCTCTACCGCTTGAACCACTCCACCAGCCCATGTGCTGTTGTTTTTGAGATAGGGTCTTGTTTTATGTCAAGGCCAGCCTGGACCATGGTCCTCCTATTTGTACTTCCCCTCCCAGCTGGAGATAACAGGCATGCACCACTGCCCAGCAAGTGGTTGAGATGGGATCCTGTGAGCATTTTGCTTGGTCTGCCCTTGAACAGCAGTCCTTCTGATCTCTATCTCCCGAGTAGCTAGGATTACAATTGTGAGTCACTGTACCTGGCTGATTACTTAAAATTAAATTTTAACTAAAATTGAACTAGTTAAAACATAAATGCTGGGAATTTGTCAGTCTCAATCCTTAATGCTGCTATCTTCTGCTTTTATTAGTGTATTTGGGCCTTTCTTGAATACATTTCTTGAAGGAATCACCCATTCCTCTGGCTTTGTAAAATTTTATAAATCTAAAGTGATTGCCACAAAGGAGAAATCTAAAACTTAGACAAGTTACATGATTTGTTAGCAATGGAGCTACAATTTGAATCCAACTCCCTAAATCTAATTCCTGTATATATATTGTTGTTTTGTTTTGTTTTTTTGTTGTTGCTGGACTGGGGGTTGAACTCAGGGCCTCATGCTTGTAGATAAATACTTTCTACCCTGTCATACAAAATAAGCATAGAATGGTCATCTCAAGAGGACCAAAGATGAACAGTATGTGCACAGGTAGAAGAGGTAAGCAAGGAAAACTGACATTGACAAGAGGAGCTCATAGAATTTCCATTTACTATAAGAATAGAAAGAGAATAAGTTTGTAATTGGCTTATAGATACACAGTGGAGTCCATTACCAAAGATGTCTTTTTGAAGTACAGAATAAAGTTACAAGTTTTATTTGTTAATTTTCATTCTTTATTGAAACACTTTGTCCTTTCAAATCTTCTCCTCAGAGAGACCCTTCGTGAAGTGCTCCATTTACTGAGAAGCACAGGTAACACCCAGGTAGAGTACATCATCCGAATCATGAAGAAATGGGCCAAAGAAAACAGAGTGCCTATCTAACTAACTCCAGAGCCCTAACCCTGAGGCCAGCTTCAGCTTTGACCTGAAACTGGAAATCATTTTCCTCAAGTTGAATGGAAGATAGTGGGCTCTATTTGATGGACATTTTCCTTCCTTGTTCTTCGAGGCTGAAGATCAGTAACTGATTTGCTTAGCCCTTGCCTCCTGGCTGAAAAAAAGTACCAGTCTGTGCTGTGGCCCCTGTGTGATCCTACTAGCAATAAGACTTTGGACTTACTGGTGCCTTTCTTCCAAAAGTACTCAGAGTACTCCTGTAATTTACTGACTTCAAGGAGAACAGCATAGTTTTGGTTTCTTTTCTTTTCATGTTAACATTTCATGGCATTTTCTCCTAACTGTAATAACAAGTGTCTAATGATAAAGAGTCGCTGTCATTCTGTCATCTTATCATCTCTCATCTCTGCACATGATTCCAGTTTATTGAGAAATTCCATAAAGAGTTTTGTAGTACCTCTCTGAACCTTGCAAGAACAGTGGTGTTAACTAGCTGTGTGAGTGTAAACACAGCAATAAGACCCTCTATCAGTTTGCCCAGCCATTAATAGATTATGGGGTTACCCTTGTGGTAATTGAATTGTTGACGATTACAATGTTAATGGCACAGTGAAGTAAGTTGAGTTCCACAGTTTTTTTAAAAGGTGAATACTATGAAAAATATCTGTGCAGTGCCTCTGAGGTACTCAAGAAACCAAGTATATAAATCTCAGTCACTTCACCACTGTATTTTAGGTAACAAAGCAGGTGAGGTTTTTTCCTTATGTAGCTGCTGAATAAAGTTCCACTTGAAAAGTAGGACCACTAAGGTTACATATATTTACTGTGAGCATTTATTAACATGCTGATAAGTCATGGATGGTGTGAAGACCTTTGAGGGGTCTCTGAATGGCTGGACTCTCTGTCTTCAGTCATATTTCTTGAGCTCTCCCAACATAAACCTCCTCTACAACTGAGCATTTCAGATTCATGGCCTATTTTCAGAAAACAGATCACATTCTTTTATATATTAGATTACCTTTGTTTCTGTACCCAGTGTAACAAGACTAGAAAGTGCAGAGCCATTCCTGTCTAGCAGAGAACTGAAAGTCAGAACTCCTTTAGGCAGGAAGTCAGAAGACTCCCTAAGAGCACTGTGTGAGTTTTTCCTCTTATTCCCAACATCCCACCGCAGAGGAAGGCGCTATATAGCGGGGGAGGGGAACCTGGCTAGGGAAAGGCAGCAGAGGAGAAAGATCAATTGAAGATGCCCTTACATCTGGACAGTTGCATGGCTCTTCATCTCTACTTGGGAAGATGACCAGGATTCCTGTCTTGTATGATAGACTGACTTGTAATCAGTACAGAGCATAAATCAGAATAAATGAATTCTAGGAAACAAAGCTACATCATTTCACACACCAAAGTTTCTGTTTCCTTATTTGGTTGCTCCTACTTTTTCAATAATAAGTGGTTCTCAGCATCAGTGGTACTGGGTGAGTCAGATCTGGGCAGACCTGCTAAAAATATTAGGAAAGACAATAGTGGAAGAGGCAGATGGAACACCTCGGTAGCTTTTGGCAATTAAACTTGTCTTCCAGTGAATCACCATTATTTTCAAATTTCCTTTACTTGAAAATTTTTTCCAACGATGATGATTTAGCTTTAATGAGCTTTTGTTGAATTTAACACTCAAGATTCTTTCTGACATTTTCTTATCTTTTGGGGGAAAAATATATTCCCAAAATAGCAAATTTTAGGATAATTTTTTAAAAGTTTTTAATCTATAGGATTGAGTCAGGAACATAAAAACTAGTTTAAAGAAAAATACATCCAATTCTATTTAAGGATAACTACTTGTGAAGTGTCTTCAGAGGGTTTCAAGTGGCATGTTGTTTTTCATAGGGTGACACAGGAGAGAGGAAGGCCCAGGCTTAGGAATGTAGCGTACATGTACAGTTTACAGCATCAGTGTATTATCTATAGGCTGAAGCATACATTACTGAAGCAAATGGAAAAAAATCTTTTACAATTATTTTTGTACCTCAAAGTAATTATTACAAACCACTGTATATATTTAAATTAAAATTTATTATTTGGTTCCTCTCATGGTGTTCTGTGTTATGTGATGAGTGTTAATGCAGGACTTGGGATGTCATGTGCCAGCTCCCTTTCTTTACTGACCCTAGGATGAAGGAAGAAAAATAAAGTTTTGGACCTCATAGGTTATCATTTTCAAGAGGAAAACAGGTATTCCCTAAGAAGTCTTTTCCACTACGAGGCTGGTAGTTCCTGCTGAGTTATATTAGATTTGACTCTTTGCTGAATTACAGCTCATTCAGAAGTTGTATGACCAGTGCATATGCAATACCTCACACATAGAAAATTTCCAAATACCGGCGAACTAAATGACTAAACACATAACAACTGGTAGAGCAAGGGACTCATGAGATCTGGCCTCACATGTTCTGATTCACATTTAATTATTGTTGTGCCATGTGCTAAGCCTATGCAGGATGTGAGGGAGGCTAAGTAAAGAAGGCACAGTCCTGCCCTTAAGGAAGTCAGTCTAAGAGAAGCAGGCACAACTGAACACAGTAAGATGTGATTGAGGTCATCAGAAAGAGGGTAGCACAATTTACAGGCCTCAGATATAGGAAAAAGTATCCTGCTAGGCGAGCCTCAGTTGAAAGAGCAGTAGGTCCATTTTATCTCACTTGTTTATCATATTTTGTGTGTATTCCTTCATATAGTTATTTGGTAAGTTACTTATATCCATCTCACTGCATACCAGAAAGGTTTGGAGGTAAATTACCAAAAACTATGTAACAAAATCTCAATAGATGGAGGCATGTTAAGAGCTGGGTGTGGTGCTGGGGCATGTTTGTAATCCCAGCACTTGGGAGGCTGAGACAAAGGGATCACAAGCAACAGACCAGCCTGGCTACATAGCAAGACCCTGTCTCAATGACAATAATGGAAAAGAAGAGGGCATTTCAGAGTAAAGAACAGCAAGCATAAAGTTAATGCACAAAAGTATATATCAAATTACTAAAGATGGACCAGAATTCAGGTTTCTCACCCATGAAAGCAAAGGGTGAAACAGCTGCAGCCTCACAGTCCATCTGTCAGTGAGCTGCCTACAGGGAAGAAAAGCCAGGGCCTCTCAGTGATTCTGATCGCTCATAGGTTTCTGAGTTAGGTTTTTGCACTAAAGTTGGACAGAACTAGACACTTGGAAAGATGTCAAGGGAATCTTGATTTTAGCCCAGGTCTTTCCCATTGAAAGACAGTTGGACAGTTAAATAATTACACTTGCCCTTCCACTTTTAATTTTTATCTACAAACATATAATTAGTTACATTCTCCTTTGCCAATTTTTTACTGAGGAGTAATTAATATGGTGGAACTAAGACATCTTCAGGTTTTCAAAATCACAAGCATATGTTAGGATGGAAGTATAAATAACAGCATCCTGAAGAATAGATTGTAAGGAATGTAAAAACTTGAAAACAATGAAACGAGGGGATAGTAGCTTGCACATTTACTGAGAGATTCAAAGGGGGAAAATGCTGGGGAGTAGGTTGAATAGAAAAGGCCACGTGCCTTTTCTTAAGCTAAAATTTGAAATATAGAATTTAAGCAAAAAATAAGTAAATAATGCCACAAGAAAAAGAAAATATCTGTATAGCTGGACACAGTGGTTGCATCTATAATCCCAACTACTCTGGAGGCAGAGATCAGGAGGATGGTGGTTCAAGGCCAGCCTGCAGGTGTGGGGTGGAACTACAAGACCCCATCTCAATCAATAAAAAGCTGAACAGTGGTATGTGCTTGTCATCCGAGTTACACAAGAAGCATGAATAGGAAGATCGTAATCCAGGCCAATCTGTGCCCATCTAAAAAAACAAAATGAAACAAAAAAACAACGTAAATGAAGCCTTGAGTAGAAATTCACAGATGGTTAATGTTAACTTTATTTTCTTTATTTGTTTATTAAGACATGGTCTCACATATCACTCAGGCTGATTTAGAACTCATAATCCTCCTACCTCAGTTTTCCAAGAGCTTGGATTTAATGTTAATTTTAATTGTGCTATCCTTTATTTTCATATAGAGATTAACTTGTTCTTTAAGAAAGCCACATCGCCTTTCCTTGTAAACTTGTTTTACGCTACAATTTGGCAATCTCACTCTTAGCTTTATGCCTGAAAGACACCCCTAAATAACTACATCGGGAAACACGTACAGGAAAGATCCTCTCCGCACTGTTCCCAGGAAAGACCTGGAGACAGCCCAGATACCCACAGACAGGACAGCTGATAAACTGGCAAAGTCACAATGGCATACCATACAAAATGAGTCCCACCAAAAAAAAAATGAGTTACAGCTTCTTGCAACCACTAGAATGAATCTTTACAGCAGTAACATTTTATAAGTAAAAGACAACTAAAATATCCAGGTGTGCTCAAAAGGAAAGCTGGGGGAGGATGAACACCAGAGGCAGATTAGGAGAGACAGGGAGCTGAGATGGAGAAGAGGTCACATCCTCAAGTTCCAGTCTTTGTGTGGACACTGAGTCATGGGGTGCACCCTTACTGGACCATAAATAGACTGTTAACCTCTGAATGGCAAATAGACGAGGACCAATGGTGAGAGTGTGACGTGAGCCAAAGATTCTGACCAACCACGGCCTTGGGTATCTGAGAGTACAACAGAACACATAAATCTGTAACTAGAAGGAAATACGCCTAATGTAAACACTCATTGTCTTCAAATGGTAGAACTGGGTAATGCTGTTCTTTTCTTTCTGGATTCTCCAGTTCTCTACAAAGATCACATGTCACTTGTATTAGCACAAATACCGTTAAAATAATTTTTTATTTTTTGGGAGGTGGTACTGGTGTTTGAACACAGGGCCTCACACTTGCTAAGCAGGCAATCTACCACTTGAGCCACTCTGTCAGCTCTTTTATTGTGTTGGATTTATTTTTGTTTTTGTTTCTTTGTGTTTATTTTGTTTGTTTTTTGGTGGGACTGAGGTTTGAACTCAGGGCTTTGCACTCTATCACTTGAGCCACACCACCAGTCCATTTTGATCTGGTTGTTTTGGGGATGGGGTCTCACAAAGTATTTGCCCTGGCTATCATCTAACTGCAATCCTCCCAATCTCAGCAGCCAAGTAGCTAGGATTACAGGTTTGAGCCACCAATGCCTATCCTGTATTGTGTATTTTTGAAATAGGGTCTTGATTTCTTTTGTTTTGTTTGTTTTAAACCCAGGTTGGCCTGGAACCACTGTCCTCCTCATTTCTGCCTCTCGAGTTGTGAGCTACCAATGCCCAGCTTTAAAATATTTTTGAAAGAAATTTTCAGTTTGCACTTAAGAAAATAATTTCTTCATCTTATCTTATGCCCAGTCTTTACT